GCAGCATGCAGGGACGCCGGCAAACACGGCAGAGCCCGGCTGGACCAGAACTTCTTCCCAGATGCTCTCCCCCATGGCTCCTGGCTGCTCTGACAAGAGCAGAGAGAGTTGCATCAACAGGAGACCGGCGGCTCCACACACATGAGCCGGGTCCAGACTTGAGTAAGGCAGGGACATTCCTGGAGGAGGGATTCAACCCAGCATTCAGCTCACAGATGGCCTCGCAAGAGAGCTTTGACCATTCCCGGCCAGCGTCAGAGGCCAGCTTTATAGGCCTCTGTGTTGTGTCCTGTGGGTGAGGGAAATGAGATGTGAGAAGCCTCGGGCTGTTTGGACAGGCCTTCTGGAACAGGGCTGTGTTCTGGCGGCAGGCCTGGCAGGGTTACCCAGCGGTAGGAAGGCCTCCAGCACCCAGTGACCTCCTGCAAGGAACCCAAGGGCGAAGCTGGTCCCCGTTTGATGTGTGTCCATGAACTAGCCCATCTGTGGCCTCTAACATTGCCAGCCGCACCCTCTGCCTCACTCTTGGCTTCTGTGACACTCACTCAGAACCATAACAGACAAGATTTATTGAGTGCTTGTCACGTGCCAGACGTGGTGCCAGATGCTGTAAAATGCACAGCACCTCACTTCATCTTCATGACTGTCAAGGACGTGCTCTTGACATCCGCATTATACACGAGGACCTGGAGACCTGCAGAGATCCCATGACACACCCCGGTCGCACACATGTGGAGTCTGGATGTGGACGCGGGTTTTCCCAACTCCAGGGCCCGAGGCCCCCCAGGGCATCACACTCTCCCTGCCTCCTCATCGCTCTTACCCTTGGTTCTCAGTCTCGGCAGGCTCCTCTGCTCCACCGACCCCTTCAGTCTTGGTGTCTACAGGGCTCTCCTCTCTTCCCATCCCACACAGAGATTATCAGTCTCAAGTCATCAAACCCCCTCGCCTTCAGGGACCCCGTGCCCTTCGGCAGCGGTGCGCGGTGTGTTGTGTGTGTGCCTGTGTGTGACTCTTCTGAGGAGGGAAGCCGCAGCTTTTGTTTGAGGAAATGGGCTGTAGTTGTGTTTACTTGGTATGTGTCTGCCTGGGGAAGCCAGATCCTGGTCTAAGTTTTTTTCCTTTTCCTGGAATTCCTGAGGAGGCGCTGCACCAGGAGTGACAGGTGGGGAAAATAAAGCAGCGGTGCCGGATCCCAGCACCCTAATGCAGGCGCTCTGGGACTTGAGACCCAAGCACAGGGCTTGTTCCTGCCTCCCCGCCCACCCCCAGCCCCCCACATCCCAAGGAGCTGCAGGTGTGTCTGTTACTTTGCATCTCCTGCCACTAAAGGTGACTCTAGTTGTTGTGCAGTCGCTAAGTCATGTGTGACAGATGTGACACACGTGTCCTCGAATCCAAGCAGTCCCGGCACTCGCTCCTCCTGGAAAACAGTAAAGGTGGGAAGAGACAAGGAAGCCCCCTTCCCTCTCCACCCTGGAGCTCGTGTCAGATTCTCAAAGGGGGCTTGAGATCCTAATCACCTGCTGTTTCACACAGTGATTCCATATGGAACCCTTTAGCACATGGGAAAAGCCAAGAAGTGTCTCCAAGAGGGAATCTCGTGTCACAGAAAGACCCAGGCTCTTGAGCTGAATCCAGCTCAGATTCTCCCCCAGCTGTGTGCCCCCAGGCGCATCCCCTCACCTCTCTGGGCCTCAGTCCCCTCTGTGAGATGGGATGCGTGACACCAACCGCAGCAACCCCTGGCTCCCCCTCAGAGATCCCAGCTCTGAGGAGTGGATCGAAGAGAGGCCCTGTTCATCCTGACTCCAGGCCCCCTCCCTCCTGAGGTGGGTGCAGCAGTAATGCTAAGGAATGGGGTGGCAGGAGGAACACTCATCCCGGCATCGCGACACTCGGGTTTGCATCTTCCCCCAGCCACTTACGTGACTTTGAGCACATCGCTTCGTCTTGGGTCCCGCACCTGTGAAGTGGGTGAAAGTTGCAGAGACATAAATAATATCTGTGAACGCCGGCCTGCAGCCTCCACGCCCCCAGCTGTGCTGTCCCTGCCCTCCCCACCCCTCCTGAGCCGCCCCTGGGCTTCCTCCTCTTTGAGTGTGTGTGGGCAGGTGTGGGCAGGAACCTGGGGCTGTGGGGGTGGGGGACGATGCTGGGGCCTGCCTGGCTCTGGGGAAGGGATGGGGGCTGTGCTCGGCTCGGCACAGGCTGGTACCCGCCATTCCTTCGGTACACGGAAGGGCTTCTCCCCAGTTTTGCATAAGAACTTGGTCATTTCTCCACCTTCCCCTTTCTTGCTGGGTCTCGTCCTGATCTTTACCCCCTTACACACATATACTTCTCCTGGACACAGAGGTAGACACAGGAAGAAGTAGGTCTGGGATCTGCTCTCTCATCTCTCCAGGGCTGAGACCCAGAGAAATTTGCCCCCAGGGCTGATCCGTTGAGCTGACACTTGGAGGACAGATAGAATCTGCCCAAGATAGTGGCGCTGCCACAGAGGTGGGGAGACACGGGAGGGGGTGGCTGGAGCAGACAGTCCATTGAAGGCCACAGAAGATGAGCCTGAAGAGGTACAGAGGGCGGTGGAGGAGCGGGGTTGGAGTTCACGTCCCCTGTCACACTTGAGGTCGCTACTGCGCTGCTGGGCCACAGAAATGAATCAGATCATGAGCCCCTGCCCTGGGGCTGATGTTGGTGTTGAGAGCAGCTGAGCAGCAACTGTGAGCTGGGCACTCAGCCTGAATTATCTCATTGAATTCACGCAACATAAGATAAATACCCTTAGTTTATCCATAAAGAAACGGTAAGTTTCTTGCCCAAGGCCTCCATGCAGCTAAGGGACCAGAGCAGAGTTTGGATCCAGGCCCAAGATTCTTCTGTCTTAGTCAGCTCGTGTTGCTATAACAAAATACCACAGACTGGGTGGCTTATAAACAACAGACATTTGTTTCTCACAGTTCAGGAGGCTGGAAGTCCAGGATCATGGTGCTGGCAGACTTGATGTTTGGTCAGGGCTTCCTGATTCAGAGATGGTTCCTCGTTCATAGATCGTGGTGTCCTCATAAGGAGCAGGGGAATCTCTCTTGGACCGCTTTTGTAAGGGCACTGATCCCATTCTTGAGGCCTCTACCCCTGACCTAATCACCCCCCAGAGGCCCACCTCCTAACCATCACTACCCCTGACCTAATCACCCCCCAGAGGCCCACCTCCTAACCATCACCTTAGGCATTGGGCAAATGAATGAGGAGAGGGGCACAAACTTTCAAACCATAGCAGATCTTAACTTCATGTTTTTTCACCTCCCAAAGGTGAAAGACCATTTCTACCTTGAGATGAAGGCGTTCAGTAAAGGCACAAGGAGGGAGGAGACGTGAGTCTTAAGAAACAAGTGAGGTAGATCAGGTGGATGGAGGTGGAGAGGCCATTATAGACAGAACCAGCAGCAGCAGCGGAAGCATGAAGGTGTGAATCAGCAGGTGGGGACTTCAGATGGGCAGAAATGGAAACTGGAGCAGCAGGCGGGGTTACTGGCTAAAAAACTCAGATCTCTAGTGGGGCGGTGGTGATGTGATCCAGTTTGTCTATAGAAAGATCATTCTAGCAGAGAGTGGAAAGTGGTTTGGGAGGCAAAGATGGCCCATTCTGGGCACTCACTACGTGTTTGTTGAGGAAATGAATGGAACTCACCAATTACTGTGTACCGTTTACGTTCTAGTCCTTCTAGTGGACTAGAAGGGCTCTGGAGGATTGGTGGTCAGTAAAACAGACACTGTAAATAATCCATTTGAAAGATGATGAGACCTGGACTTTAGGTGGTAGCAGTGGGCATGGGAGGTAAGGATGGATCTGTGGGATTCTATAGAAAATAGTCAAAAGAACCAGATGACCAATAAGACGGAATGGGCTGGAGAGATAGAGAGATGGATATATAAAGTCGATTCCCAGGCTTCTGATATGGATGATTGGATGGACAACAGAGCTTGGGGAACACAGAGGAGGAGCAGATCTACAGATACCAGAAATAGCTGAGATGCCCAACAACAGAGGGTTGCTTACATAGTCTAGGGGACATGCCTCCAGCCTGCAGGGTTAGTTTGTGACCTTCTCTAGCAGTACGCGGGAGCCTGGTTATAAGGGCAGAAAGGATGGGTGAATGGGTTGGTCCAAGTCCATGGTTCCCCTGGGTTAGGACAATAGAATGGCACAAGGCAGGGAGTTGAAGGTGATCATGAAAGAATGGCTGAAGCAATCTACTCGAGGGACTAGACCAGGGAGGGCTTGTATACTGAACAGAAAGGCAGGGCTGGGAACTGGAGGAAGGGAGGGAGGAACAAGGAGAGGAATGTGTGGCCCCGGAGTGGACCCCAGGGTGTCAGGGTCCAGAGCTGCCGCCCTTCCAGTCCGGTACTGCGATCCGTGAGGGGAGAACCATCCCATTTGGCCAATAAAGAAACTGAAGCTCAGAGAGCTTGTCACTTGCCCAAAGTGACCCAGCTCCATCGGTGGCAGAACGGGGGGTGGAGTGTTGTTCTGCTGTGCCGTACTAGCTCACGTTCTGTCTTTATTTTTCAGGTTCACTTTAGAACAGTTGACTGAGAGAGTGAGGAAATTCAGCGGAAGGGGAAGGAGGCGAGCCCAGCAGAGCAGATAGGAGAGAGAGGGCAGGCTCCTCCTGGGCCCCTCCGTAGCGGCAAAGGGGAGGGGTACTGCTGGGCCGCTGGCTCTTCCTCTTGGCCTGAGAACCCCCAGGCCAGAGCAGCACAGCCCTGTGCCCCCCCATGTACTTGACTCTGCCCCGCATCCTGTGTCCCCAGCACACACCGAGTCCACTGTACTTCGGCCCATTTATTCTTCATGCCCCAGGCTCCCTGTACACACCTCACGCCCCCCACCTGGTTTCTCACTTGCCTGTACACACTTTGGGTTCCCACCACTCACCCGGGCCCATCATAAGCTGTGTGCCTGCTCACACCCACTTGTGCTGTGTCTACAGAGTGCGTCGGATGGCTTCTGGAAATCTGTGGCCACTCGGGTGCCCAAGGAACCCCCCGAGATTCGCATCCTCAACCCATATTTCATCCAGGAAGCCGCCTTCACCCTCATCGGATTGCCTTTCAACAACGGTCTCATGGGCCGCGGGGTGAGACATCTGGACTTTGGGAGAGGGAGGAGGGGATGGGGGCCAGAGGTGCCTTGGCAAGGAAGGACAGAGGGCTCGGCCCTCACGAGCGGAGCTCAGCTCGGGCGCTTTGCTGAGGGTCTCAGCCTCACTCTACCCACCTTCCCCCTCCTTCCAGAACATCCCGACCCTCGGCAGTGTGGCAGTGACCATGGCCCTACACGGCTGTGACGAGGTGGCGGTTGCGGGCTTCGGCTATGACATGAGCACGCCCAACGCCCCCCTGCACTACTATGAGACCGTGCGCATGGCAGCCATCAAAGAGGTGCGGGGCTGGTGCGGGGTCGTCCCTGGGCTGGTCGAGGGAGGGGGCAGTGCCAGCATGAAGGATAGACTCTGACTGTGTGTGCACAAATGAATGGTCAGGGGATGAGCGGGTCTGGCTGCTCGGAGATCCCTGGAAGGCCCTGCCCCACCCTCAGCTAAGCTGGGTCACCAGGTATCCTTGACCACCATGTTTCTGACCACAGCATCCAGCACGTCCCTCTCCCAGTCTTCTTCTTCAGCTTCCCCTTTGCCCACCGCCCCCTCCGCCTGCTCCGTGTCCTGGTCCAGCCCCTGCCTCCTTCTTACTGCTCCCCAGTCATCACCTGCCCATCTGTGTGCAAGCTCAGGGCCATCCTCCCTACTTCAATTCTTCTATCCCCCCGAGAACTGCCTCGCCCCCTCAAACAACCCACAGACATTGCCTCTCAGTCTCAGGATGCCCCCGGTACCTCCACCCTCCCCTGTGGCCAGGCACTGAAGCTCTTTAGCATCCAGAGTTGCTTCCCCGGTGATGAGTATGTTAAGTTCTCCCAGTCAGCCAGCCTCTCCTGGCCCCTCTCGCTTCACAGCAAGAGCCCCTGTGGAAAACCCGAGCACTCTGCTTCTTCCCCTCGCCTTCTGCTGGACCCTGGGCATCTGCGGCTTGTGCTCTGAGCAGCTTCTCTATTCCTGCCTCTGGGTGGCAAGGGTTGTTAGAGAAAGCCTCTTGTCCATGCAGACTCACAGCTCAGCAGCCCTCGTTCCTGCTCATCAGTCTCTTGCAGGCTGTCTCCAGCCCACTGAACTGTTCAGGTCTTACGCTCCCCAAAGCTCCCTCCCTCTCCTCCTCCATGCAGAGAAAGGAGAAAAACTGCTGTTGCCAGGCAGGCTCTGCCTCTCTCATTCCCACTCAGCCCTTCGCCCCTCGCAGCCCAGCTTCCTCCTTCACCTAAGAGGACTCCCACCAAGGTCACCAGTGACTCAGGCTGCCAAGTCCAAAGGACACGTGTCAGTCTTGTCTTTCCGATCGCTTGGCAGCGCCTTCTGTGTTGAGCGGTGCTTCCTCTGAAATGCTCTCCTGCTCAGACTCTGAGTCAGGCATCTCAGTACCCGTCCTGTTCCCTCACCAGGCTCTCTTATTCTCTTCCTCCATGTCCTGGATTTCAGTCCAGCCCGAAGAGTCAGCATTAACTAGGGCTCCATCCTAGACAACCTTCTCACTCTGCACATTCCCCAGGAGATTCACACCCCCATCCAGGGCTCTGTTCCCATCTATATTGTTTTAGGCTTTGGGGGTTCATTCAGATGGCCTTGAGTGATTACGAGTTATTTCAAGGATATGAGAGAGACTTGAGAATCTCTTGGGAAACAACCTTTCAGCTGGGCCTCCTATTTACTGGAATGGGGTTCAGGAGTAGTAAGCTCCTCCTGGGTCCAGGAGAGCCCCCATCTGTCTTACCCCTCAGCTGTGGCTCCAGCCTGCCTCCTGTTCACCAGGACCCTGTGGAGAGACCTTGTCTCTCCAGCTCTACCTCTCTTCATGTACCTTCTTGCTGACTCGTCCCCTACCAGCACCCGCCCTAAATTGCTCTCACTGCTTTCACCTGCCTCCTGGCTTCTGTTTACTCCTATACTGGGCCTCTTACATATTCCTTTTATGTAAACTTTATGTAATGGCTCTAGGGAGAGGGTGAGAGGCCGCAGACAGGCAGTAGCCAGATCAGAGAGGGCTTTCTCTGCCATGGTAAGGAGTGTGGACTTTGCTCTGAAGGCAGGAGGGAGCCATGGACCAGTTTTTGGCTAAAGGTGAGCATGTAGTAGGGTCACTGTGGCTCCGTCATGACAGAGGGGTCCAGGCAGGAACAGAAGCTAGTTGGGATGCTGTCTCAGCAGTCTAGGCAAGAGATGAAAGTTCACCGGAACTGTTCAGGGAAGACAGGAAGACAGAGGCAAGAATTGGTTAGGATTTTAAATCAGCGAGTCCTGGAGAGGGCCTCCATGTGGAATGAGGTGGAAGGACACACCTTCCCTGAAGCGCTGGTGGAGGCTGTTCCCTCTTCCACCTGCTGTGTCTCGGTTGTCTTACCCCCACCCCCTCCATTAGCCTGTAGAACCATCTGGCTCCGGGACACGCGGCATCTGCTGCACCACCTCCAGGTGGAGTGCTGAGCAGTGCTGGCAAAGAAATCAGGTGGCCTGGGTTCACAGCCTGGCTCTATACCTTCCTTTCCTTTCCTTATCAATACATGGGATAATGAGAGGTTTGGGAAAGAGTCGATGTGATAATGTGTAAAGAAGGCCTGGCCGTAGTAAGTGCCTGCACATGCTTGCCATTATATCAATGGCAGTGTTTTTACCCCTACTTATTACTATTGCTTCTCAGCATCCTAGAGGAGTCCCTGAAATGCTGGTCCCTGGGTGTAGGATCCCTGCTGTCTCTCAGGGTATCTTCAGTGGGCAAGGGAGAGAACTTGCCCATTTTCCAGGCCCAGTGGGAGCATGTGAGATGTGACAACAGTGAGACAAGGGCTGAATGCGGAGGGGATATTGAGGGATGTCAGAGGCATTCATAAAGGAGGAGAGAGCATAGAAAAGGGTCAGAAGATGCAGGATCCTGGAGAGCCAAGGAGGGGCATGCCTACAATCACCAGTGCATGGCGCCGGTGTGGCATGGAAGTCCTAGGAGAGGTGCTGAGACTCAGCAGTCGGATGTACCAGTTAGGGGGTCCCCAGGGCTGTAGTGAGCACAGTTTCAAAGGAGCAGGGGCTTCAGAGCCAGAGCGCAGCAGCTGAACAGCGAGTGTGGCTCCCACCGAGTGCTCTCTGGGGAAACCTGGAGGAGAGAAGAGGAGAGGGGCTGAGCAGTAGCCAGAGGGTGAAGTGGGCTCACACAGGAGTCTCCCACAACAGGGAAATCTGGGCTGGAAATGTAGATTTGTGAGCGGTGAGCACAGGGGAGGCATGGATGAGATGTCTCAGGGAGACAACAGAGGAGGAAGTGTGGAAGTCAGGGCAGAACCCTGGGAGCACAGAGATAAAGATGGGAGCTGGGAGGAGGATGGCTCTTCTGCATCCAGAGTCAGGGGTCCTGGTGAGGGTCCCAGAATCCTGCCCCAGCCCGTGGACAGTGCAGGTGGCGTGGGGTGGAGAGTGCTGTGAGCCACTGTGCTGTGTGCACGGGGCAGGGGCTGAGAAAAGATCACCAGAGAGAGGGCGTTGTCTGGTCCAAGAGAGAGGCACCCTAGCAGACTTTTTTGTTTACTGTTTTATTATGAACTTGTCAAACCTATCCACAGTAGAGAAGAAACTAATGAACTCCCACATAGTGTCACCTCCCGCCCCCAGTTATCAACACACGCCCGTGTTGTTCAATCTGCTCTTCCTCTCAAGCCTCCCCTCCCCGGCTATTGGGACACAGATCTCAGGCATTGTGTCATTCCAGCCATGAACATTTCAGCAAATTTCTCTAAAAGATAAGGATGACTTTTTTTAATATTACACCATTATCACACCTGGAATTTTAACAATAATTCCTTTTTTAAAAAAGTCCTATTGCCTTGTAGTATTGGTTTGTTTATTTGGTTGTGCTGGGTCTTAGATGCTGCATGTGAACTCTTCAGCTGTGGCTTGTGGGATCTAGTTCCTGCATTGGGGGCAGAGTCTTAGCCACTGGCTCACCAGGGAAGTCCCAACCATAATTCCTGAGTATCATCAGATATCCAGTCCTCTGCTGACCTTTCAACCCTCAGGAACTCCCAGTAGGTATTCTTGAAACGGACCCATCAGACTGGTTACTTCTTCTTGGGGAGTGATGCAGGCATGGGATGAGTAAAGAGCTGTGGGGGTCTCTATGCTTGCTTGGATCCTGGCCCTGCCATTCCTCCATGCCTTCATTTTCTTACCTGGAAAATCTGATTTCATTCAACACATATAGAGAGAGCACCTACTCTGTGCCAAACAGTCCCTGCCTTCAAAGACAGATGGGGTGAGCCAGAAGTTTGAATCTTCAAGAAAGGGACTTTCCTGGTGGTCCAGTGGCTAAGACTCTGGGCTCCCAATGCAGGGGGTCCAGGTTCCATCCCTGGTCAGGGAACTAGATCCCACATGCTGCAACTAAATATCATGCATGCCAAAACTAAGACCCAAAAAATTAAGACCTGGTGCAGTCAAATAAATAGATTAAATAAGTAAATTTTTAAAAGTAGATCTTCAAGGAATGAGGGTTGAATCACCCAGGGGTCTGCACCAAGGAGGGGCAGTTTGCTGACAGTTGAGAATAATTCCAGGAGCCAGAGGTTCGAGGGAGGTCACAGGGACAGTTGTGTAGATGCAGCAACAAATGAGGAAGACTCTGCCACCTCCAGGCACCGTGGAGTGTGGGTGTGAGGGGAGAAAAAGCATGTCTAGGGAACACTGTCCTTAGGGGCAGCCAGGTTCGTGGTTCGCACAGGAAGTTGAAGGGGGTGTTCAGAGAAGAGGAATATAGGGGATTTTGCCCAAGTTTCAAACTGAAAAGATCTGGCAGGTTGGAGGAGGTTGCTTGGATCAGACAAGGACCAGACAAGAGCTGTAAGTTCTTCACGCCAGTAAACAGTGGCTGTGAACATCCTAGGGTGAACCTCATTCCGTCGGATGCAGCAGAGCAGTCAGCTGTGTCCAGACGGTGATAAAGCTATTGGCTCTCATCACTCCTTTATTCATTCAGTCCTGTTTCATTCTTTGAGATACTTAGTCATCACAGCTTCCTGGCACCGGGGAAAGGAAAGAACCTGAGCCTGGGTGCAGTCTTCCCCGGGAAAGCCCTGGAAGGTAGCATCTTCCCTCCAATTTCCACAGTGACAATAAAATGAGCTTCTGCATTGCCCCCCTCCCCGGGCTCCTCTAATCTGAGAGGCAGGATTTCATCAGCTGCCCGTAGGCCTGGAAAGTGGATTGCGTCAGGTCAAAGAATGACTAAGCCACCCCACGTGGTTCCCTTTCCAGCAGGGCCCACCCCCCAGGCTTGGGCCAGACCTAATGACTCACTTCACTTGACCTTGGGGTGCCAAGGGCCTAAGGGCCCGGAGAAGCTGCTGGGCAAGGAGGGGTTGAAGGAGTGGGAACACGGTTGGAACGCCTCCATCTCTAAGGCTTGGAAGAAGTTAAGGGGCACAGTATTCCTGAACGAGGGAAAGGGGGTTAGAAGGTTATTTTCTCCAGGTCCTGGGAAAGGAGGAGGGTGAGCCGCAGCACTTCTGGAGTGGCAGAGGGTGGTGGTCTCAGACTAGGGCACAGAGCCCTGGGAGCCTGCAGCATTCTAGCAAGGCTCCATCCTTGCAGCCACTTGGCCTGTCCAACTGACCGCCACTCCGTCTTCCCTTTCAGTCCTGGACGCACAACATTCAGCGAGAGAAAGAGTTTCTGCGGAAACTGGTGAAAGCGCATGTCATCACTGACCTCACCAGTGGTATCTGAGGTGCACCCAGCACATGGCCACAGAGGTCCAGCCACCACCACCTGCCCACTTCACTGGCCTCGGCCTGGCTCTGCCTGAGAGGTGCGGGAGCCTTCAGACCGGGAGAAGGACTGTTGCCAAGTGGTCCCAGGGTTGGCGAGGCCTTGGCAGAGCAGCCAGAGCTATGTCTGCTCAGAGGCCAGCCTCAGAGCCCAGCACTCGGCCTTCACCTCAGCCTGGGTCCTTGAAGCCAGAAGGCCAGGAGGCCACTGGTTGTGCCCAGCGGGCCCAGCATGCAGGAGGTGGACGCTAGGCAGCAAAGCTGCTGCCAGAATCATTTCTCCAATCAGTGTTCGGTGTATTATCACTTTGTGAATTTGGGGTGGGGGGAGGGTAGGGATAATTTATTTTTTAATCAGGTTGGAGATGTCACATTTGGTCTACTGGCCATGCAGAAAGAGACCCACTAAAGGGCCCCTCAGGCAGTGGTCCCAGCAGGCTCCCCGTAGCGTGGGAGTGCCAGGACTAGCCTGTGCCCTGCTCCGGGGTCAAGGGGAGGTGGGCAGGATCTCAGGCCAGCGCCCTCCCACTCATGACAGTGTTTGGCCTTTCTTGGGGGAGCAAAGGGGATAGTCCCACTCAGCAGCCCCCAGCTGCCCCACAGGGAAAACCTGGAGCCATCCTTTAAGCCAACAAGATGCCCCTGGGCTTGAGCGGAGAGAACTTCAGCGTTCGGGAGGCATGGCCTGGCCCAGCCTGATGGGAACGGCCCCCACCCCCACCCCAGCTGCAACTGACCGCCAGGACAGTGCTGCAGGCCTGGAGCAGCCTACCTGGCAACTCTTCTGGGTTTCAGCAACGAGACTGCCAGGTCCTCGGGTTCTGCCTTTAGCCTGGACCAGAGGGAAGTGAGGCACCAGGACTTGACCTGGCTGCGGCAGCCCTGCTGGGCAGCCATCATGGAAGCAATAAAGCTCTTCCCTGAGCCTGCCTCCTCTCGCTTTCTCTGACTTTCCTGGAAGAAACAGGTACTTCAGCAGCCACGCTAAACCCAAGGGCCATCTCTCCGGCCCTCTTTCCACCTTTCCCAGCTGCAGGACCTGCGTGGTCACCTAGGGGCCTTCTGGAACCTCCCCTGTCCCTCAGCAGCCCTGGACCCCCTTTGCCCTGAGAAACAAACCAAGGGCATCAGGACATGCCCTGGAATCTACCCTGGTGCCCCCCTAAAGGAGCTAGAGGGCAAGGGACTGAAGACAACAGCCTTAGGACAGCACCGCTGGGTCATCACAGCCCGAACCCTACAGGGACAGAGATTCCTACAAGCACAAGAAAGTGGCACTGCCCAGCCCCCAACACAAAGCAGCCCACAGACCTCACCCACTCCTGGCAGCCCTACCCTCCCCCTTAGCACATGGTCTCCCCTCGGCACCCTCTTCCTGCACAGAACAGGAAGGCAGAGCCCAGCTCCAGGATCCCCCTGGCAAGCAGTGGAAAGGACATCCCAACCTTACCCGCCAGAGCCCTGAAATCTGCTCTGTCCCTTCCCTCGCATGGCTGGCCAACCCGAGAAAGGCCAGCACACGCCTGCCCCTGAGGCCACAGGCCTGGGTGTGAGTTTCCTGCCAGAGCTGCCAGGTGGCAGCAGGTGGGGCTGGCTGGCCCCTCACCTCTCACCTGACATCCCAATCCGAGTGCCATCCCCTTCCGGACTCCCACATGCCCCTATACTGTGGCACTTTGTCCTCAGACAGAAACCTCCTCGGCGGAGGAGAAAGCGAAGCCCTGACTGAGGGACAGGGAGACCCAGAAACTTCTTCCCTTCTGCTGGAGACAAGGCCGCTCTGATGCAAACTCCAGGGCGTTATGTGGGTTACGGGAATGGCGCCCCCTGCAGTTGTACAGGGCATAGGCTGCATGCCAGCAAGCTGCAGCCCTGGGGAAGAAGCTCCCGCACAACTGGGCAGCTGGCTGGGGGTGAGCAGAGCTGCTCGCTGCCTGGGGAAACAGTTAAGCTTCTAGTCCCCAGCGCTGCATGTGAACTGCTCTCCCCAAAGTCGTGGTTCTCCGCCTGCACACACCAGAATCACCTGTGCAGATATGGAAAATTGCACATGCCCAGTCTGATTCGGGTCTGGGGGTGGGCCCAGATTTGGGTAGTTTTAAAAGGTCCACAGATGGTTCTGACACACAGCCAGAGTACAGCTGGTCCACACTTTTCCCTTGAGCACTTTCATCCCCACCCACGGCTTCTAATGGTCGGTTGGTCAACAGCTCCCAAATTGCTATCTCCAGCCCAGCTCTCTCCACTTTCTCCAGGCTACAAATTCAGTCACTTCCTGAACATTTCCACTAGGGTAATCCACAGGTCCCTACAGCTCGGCACAACCAACACCGAACTCATGAGCTCCTGTCCAGAGCCTGCTTCTGCTCCAGGAGCCCCAGCCAGAATGAATCCCCTCCACCTGGTCACCCAGACCAAAGGCAGACTGTCCTACGGTCCCACCCCATCCAATCTGGCACCAACTGAGTTCTCAAAAAGGTGCGGTCCTGAAAGAGCCCCCAAAGCCCAACACTCTCCCCATAATTCAGCTTCAGATTCTTCTCTCCCCCAGAAGCCTCCTGACATACCTCCAAACCACCCTCCTCACTGCAGCCAGTTAGCCACAGAAATGCACATTTGATCACACCATTCTCCCGCCCGAAACAAGTTCGGCGGTCCCCAGAATAAAAGTCCAGACTCCCTATGAGGACACACAGCATCTGGCCTTTCTTTATTTCTACCCACGTTACTCACTCAGCCTCGAGCCCACCAGCCAAACTGCCATAATTAGGCATCTTAAATACAACCCTCCGGCTCCTACCTCAACCCTCGGTGCAAACCTTCCTCCTCCGGGACCCTCATCTTCTTCAGCCCCAGCACCAACTCCTACCACTCTGCCCGCGCTGTGCTGGGCTGAGCAGCGGCCTTTGCAGGTGTGTCTATACTCCAAGCCCCAGGCGGCAGCGGAGGGGAAGCGCTGGGTCTAGCGGAGGGGCTGGGGCCGCTAGAGCCGGGTCGGACTTTGAAAGCCCCAGCTCGGTGCCTTGCAGGCTTGAGGAGTGCGATGAGTCTGTTGAGAGAAGAAACTAGTGGTGGATCAGAGACAGCAGCTAGCACAGAGCGGCCAGCCAGGACGACAGGAACCCAAACGCCAGTGCCCCAAGGCAGGGACCGACCCGTCCCCTCCCTCTCCCGCCCTCTGCCCGGCCTCCCAACTCCCTACTCCAAGTGTCTCCAAACTCTGAACACCCAGTGTCTGCGCCTCTGCACCGACCTGGGGGCCCTCCCCAGTTTCTCCTCCCCCCCCCCCCACCTCGGGGGACCTTAGTGGAGCGAGGGGGACCGGATTCCAGAGGGTGGAGCGGCCAGGTGAGCCCTGAAAGGTAGGGCGGGGTGGGGGAGTGCTCGGGCCCCACCCCAGGATCCGGTGACGCCAGGGCTGGAATTTGACACCGGACGGCGGCGGGCATGAGGCTGCTAAGGGATGGAGTTGGGCTCAGCCCCCAGACACGGCCCACGGGCTCCGCCAGCAGCAGGTCCCTCGGGTCCCAGCCCTCGCTGTGTCCCGGACCCAGAGCCCTGCACTCGCGGTAAGCCAACCTGTTTGCCCACCCCTCGTCCCAGCCCAGGGGCTAGGGGGGAGCAGCCAGGGTTGTCCCCTTCCACTCCTTTCTCACATTCTCCCTCTCCTGGGCCCGCTGTGCAGCTCCCCGCCTCTCCCAGCCCCCCTCAGTCCCTCTAGTTGCTTGTCGGACTGTGCTAGCCCTGCCTAGCCCTGCCGGCCCGCTGCCGTAATGTGAGGCTCCTGCCGCCGCTACAGGGCTCAGACTGGCTGCCAAGACCTCGCTTTTGGCTAAGAGAGGCGCTGCCAGCTGCACAGCCCTGGGCATGAACTTTCTGGGCTGCGGGGGAAAGCCCAGCTCTGGTTCCAGGAAAGGTGCCTAGAAGAACAGGACACAGAACCCCCGGGGTGAGTATCGGGCTGCTAGATGGGGCGGCCAGGCAAGGGCTGGAGGACCAGGTGGCCCCAGATGGCCGGGAGGGGGCCAGAGGGCCTGAGCTGCCCACAAGAGACCTGCTCCTGGGCTCCCCCTAGTGCAGGGGCCTTTAACCCTACCTTGCTAGGCTTGCCTTCCATCAGTGAGAACAAGCCACTTCCCTGACTCCTCAGGCCCAAATTCTGCTAGGCGAGCACATCTGGCACTGGAGGGCCTCACCAGGCCCTGTACCTGGCCCACAGGTACATCGACATTCTGTGTGCCGGGGGTGAGGCTGGAGGTGACAGCTGGGACCCAAGAGCAGGCCCGCTAGTGAGGGCTCATGAAGGCTCCAGGGCTCCAGAGAGGTGTTTGGGAGTGCCAGGCAGTGCGGGCTCATAAAAATTGGTGGGACTCTGAAAGGCCGACTGAGCTCAGGAAGGATGGTTCATGGGGGAAACTTCTAGGAGCAGGTCCAGGCTGCCAGATCCAGAGGGAGCTTGCAGACGGACAGACCTGGACCAGCTCTCAGGGTGGCTCAGCCCTCAGGGACCAGGCTGGTGTAGGAAGCAACTCCTGGGAGTTGCTGGGGCCTGAGTCAGGCTAAGGGTAGGGGGAAAGCCCACCCTACTTTGAGTCCACAGGCTTGACAGATGCTGCCCCCTGGTGGTCATAGAGAGCCATGGCCCAGACCCCCTGTTCCTAGAGAGCTCCTCAGCCTCTACCACCTGCTGGCTCTTGAAGGATGTCTGTGGTCAGAAGAGAAGACATCTGTGGTCAGGCACCTCTGCATCCAGAGATCACAGAGAAGCAAGGTGCAGCAGCGCTCGGGTGGGCAGCACAGGCTGAAGCCTGGACCTCACTATCATCCAATAACTCAGGGCAACCCGCAAGCACCCTCATTCTCCAGGCCACAACTTGCTCCTCTGCAGTATGGAGAGAAGGCTCTCTGTGAGGTCAGGGGGTCCAGCTGCTCCCTTCTCCAGCCCTGCAGCACAAGGCAGGAAGTTCCCTTCCCCGCACAGCTTGTGGGTCTACCCTTGTGACTTTAGATAACTGCTGAGCTTCTCTCTGAGCCTTGTTTCCTGGTCTGGAAAATGGGCATGATATATACCATTTACCTCATGGAGTTATGAAGTCTGAAAGGAAACAGGTGCAAAGCACCACCACATAGCTAGGTTCTCGATGCAGCCACTTCTCTTGGGTTGAGCCCAGCTGCCCAAGCCCCTTGTCCCTCACCTGGAGAAACTGAAGTGGAGGGATGACCTGCTCTGAGGATAACTCATCTCTCCTTGTTCCAAGCTGCCTCAAGAGGAGGGTGGGGGAACAGGTCGGCTACAACTGATGGGAGCTCCTGGTGTTGACAGAGATGGAACCTGGACGTGGAGGCCCTTCTGTGCTGCCCCTCCGGGCTGGGCCTAGGAGGCAGGTGAGCAGTTCTCCCACAGACTTCTACCGGGTATTGAGGAAAGGTGGCTTGACCTGGGAGGGAGAGCATGGCTCCAGGGGGCAGGTATCAGAAGTGGGTGGGGAAATGGTCAGGGAGGGGCCGGGGGAAGGAGCAAGGTCAGTGCCCTCCAGGGATGCCTTCTCCAGGCTCCCTGGGGCTGCTGGCCCATTATCCTCCAACCCTTCTGTCGGGCCCCAGCCCCTTCCAGACCCTACCAGGCTGTCCTCTTACCCCCTGAGGCGCCCCATCGTCTCTTCCAGCAGCCTGCCCTGTGGCCCACCCTGGCCGCTCTGGCCCTGCTGAGCAGCGTCGCCGAGGGTGAGGCCTCCCTGGGCCCCGCGCCCCGCAGCCCGGTCCCCCGCGAAGGCCCCACGCCCGCCCCGGCGTCCCCCGCGGGCCCCCTGCCAGGTAGGTGAGAGGGCGAGGGCGCGTGGCGGGCGGGCGGGCGGGCGACCCGAGCGTAACTGCGTCTCGTTCTAGGGGGCCGCGCGGCCCGTCTATGCGGCGGAAGAGCCCGGCGCCCGGCGCCCCCCCCACCCCGGCCCGCGCCCCCGCCGCCAGCGCCGTCGCCCTCGCCCGCACCCCCTCGCGGGGCCCGCGCGGCGCGGGCGGGGGCCCGGGGCGGCCGAGCGAGCCGGGGAAGCCGCGCGCGGGCCGCGGGGGCGCGGGGCTGCCGCCTGCGCTCGCAGCTGGTGCCGGTGCGCGCGCTCGGCCTGGGCCACCGCTCCGACGAGCTGGTGCGGTTCCGCTTCTGCAGCGGCTCCTGCCGCCGCGCCCGCTCCCCGCACGACCTCAGCCTGGCCAACCTGCTGCACGCCGGGGCCCTGCGGCCGCCCCCGGGCTCGCGGCCCGTCAGCCAGCCCTGTTGCCGACCCACGAGCTACGAGGCCATCTCGTTCATGGACGTCAACAGCACCTGGAGGACCGTGGACCGCCTCTCGGCCACTGCCTGCGGCTGTCTGGGTTGAGGGCTCGCTCCGAGGGCGTGCGGACAGACCCTGACCCGTGGATCTGACTGCCTGGGACCACTGGGGGCTCGGCCGGAGATGGAGGCTTCGGCCGTGTGAGTGATGGACATCAGCCCTGTGGAGAGAGAGGCACGACTGACCGGCGGTCTCACCCTGCCAGCCTCAACCCGGCAGACACCAGAGACCTCAGCTGTGGAGAGCCGAGGACCTCCTGCTCACAGACTGTCACTGCCCGGGCCAGGAACCCAGGACTCCTCTAGAGAACCCAGCAGTGTGTGGTCTCAACCTCAGCCTGGGCCTGGGGGGACAGATTTGGAGACATGTAATTCGTTGCCGAAGTGCCTGTGCTGGAGCGGGCCTTAGACTCTCTGGCGGGAGCTGGACCCCTATTTATTACTTCTAAGTTATTTATTTACTTCTGTGGTTTGTCAGATCCTTTCCTGGGCTATGGTGGCTGGATGGGGGATGGGTAGAGGCAGTTGGATGGAGATCCCGCCCTGACTATCCTGCTCACAACTTCGGGCTGACTCAGCAATCATAAGCCTGGCCTGGGACTGCTTGCCCTCACCCAGCAGCTCTGGAACCTGAGGGGCATGGAACACAGGCAGAGGAGGTGGCAAAGATGTGTTCGCTAGTCCCAGCAGGCCAATTCACAACCCCCTGCACAGCCCCCAGCAGCTGGAACCTGGGGTTACTGGTGGAGAAAGCCATTGCCTTGAGACCTCAGGCATGCTGGGGGCTTGCTTGATGGTAAAGATTGCACCACCCCACTGTCACTGATCAGAGTCCTACCCTTCAGAACACCCTGACAGGTGCATATACTGCCTGTGCTTGCAGATAGCCCAGCCCAGGGAGCTTACTACCCACATTCTGTGAAGCAACCTGTGTCAAGAGAGCAGCTGAAAAGGCTGAGGGTGGGAAAGAGGGTGCAGTGGGAGGCTGGTTTGGGGGGGATGAAGCACAGAACATCATGGAGATAAGAAAGCAGGAAAAGACTGAAGGTATCTAGAGGGACCTGCATCTTGGGTAATGAACAAGGAAATTCATTCATTCATTCAACAAATATTTATGAAGTACCTATTTTATGTCAGAAGCTGTGCAGACAGCAGGGCTACAGAAGTGACCCCATGATCTCTGCTATTAAGCTTAAACCAGGAGAGACAAACAATAAATAATTTACATAAATAATTACTGAAATTCAATTTGGCAAACAGTATGAAAAAGGACCAGAGGCTGAGAGATACACACCCTCATCTGGAAAGAAAGGAGGAGAGGTTAAATGCTGACCCTGGCCCTCCACACTGTTGCCAAGTCATAACTCAAAAAGTCAGCACAATGCCTCTGAGCGTCTGTATATGTCCTGTGAAACCTTGTTTCCTGGGCCCTATGAATTTGTCCTATATGATTTTTTTTTCTTTGAAATTAAGATCAGGACACGTATTTGGGTGCATGCTGGGTCTGAGGAGCCGTGGGACATGCGAGGGTGGTCAGGAGGCAGTGGGGATTGCTGGTCTGGAGCTGAGGAGGCAGGTCTGTACTGGAGGTTGATTGGGCAGCTGTTAGCAGAGGCAGCAGCTGCAGCCAGGGGTGCACGAGACTGTGTAAGAGTGAGGCAGATTGAGGCTGGGATCCCTCAGGCATTTGACACCATTAACCAAAATTCCTTCCCAACTGCCTGAATGCCTGCTTGCTTTGGCACAGATGCCCCCTTCTCCCAGGCTAGAGTGAGGAGCTGGCAAGGGCTCTTTGAAGGCTGTATGTATTCCGAGTCAAAGAGGGGAAAGGAGTCATGTTTCCATTCTTCTGTTTTCACTGCCTCAGTTCTAGGTGCCCCCAAAACTTTGATACTCTCATGCCGCCCTCAAACACCCCCTCGGTCCTTCTCCCTGCTTCCAAACTGATTCAGGACCTTCAGTCACTAACCCCCACCTCCAACCAAAGAAAATGGCAGCTTGGAAACATCTCACAAAGGCCCTGCCCTGGTCCTGGTTGGGGGTGAAGAGGAAGAAGTGGAACTGTTAGTCGCTCAACTGTGTCTGACTCTTTGCGATCCCGTGGACTGTAGCCCGCCAGGCTCCTCTGTCCATGGAATTCTTCAGGCAAGAACTCTGGAGTGGGTTGCCATTCCCTTCTCTGGGGGTGAAGAAGAAGGTCCTGTCAATTTCAGGGTCACTGGGGCCAAGGAGCCCTGATGCAAAGACTCGAAGGCCCGGTGGAGGGTTTGCGGACCAGGCCCTGGCCTTCAGGGGGCATCTGTGCTCTCAGAACCACTTTACAGGGGATGCGTTGAAGCCATGTCTGGCAAGTCTCATAGAGAGACAGCCAGGTCAGAACCTGAGCCAAAGGCGCTGGCTCTCAACACTCGCAAAATTGTAAGTCCTTGGGAGAGCAGGGTCCCTCCGCCCCCGCCAACTCAAGGCTGAATTCTGGGCCCTGGAGAGACTGCCCAACACTGTACAAAGTTGTGGATTAAGCCACAGCTTCTCCAAAAGGAACACATTCCCACAAGAACTAGTCTCAGTTTGCAGCTCACAATGAACCAATTGTTTTGTACTAAGTCACTTCAGTTGTGTCCAACTCTTTGTGACCCCACAGATTGTCGCCTGTCAGGTTCCTTTGTCCACAGGACTATGAATACTGGAGTGGGTTGCCATTTCCTTCTCCAGGGGATCTTCCTGACCCAGGGATTGAACCAGCATCTCTTATATCCCTTGCATTAGCATGTGGGTTCTTTACCACTAATGCCACCTGGGAAGCCCCTATGAACCAAATTCCTCTTCAAAAATAATAAATGAAGCATTTTCCCCAAAGGGAACAAGTTGCAGAGCTCCACCTCTTTGCCTACAACTTAGCAGAGGTCACCTGGCACATGGCCTCCACACAGATGGCTCTAGAATCTCCATTTTTTACTGTCATCTCTTTCATATTTGCAAAATAACACTGCCCGTTTGAATGATCTTCCCAGAGCTAAGGTATGATCTCCTCCTAAGGGGTATCAAGTTATCACTTCTTGAGAGACAAAAAACTACAGATGGCTTTTTTTAAAATATAATTTTATTTATTTATGACTGTGTTGGCTCTTGGTTGCTGTGTGGGCTCTTCTCTAGTTGTAGAGAGCAGGAACTACTCTCAAGTTGCTGTGTGCAAGCTTCACATCAAGGTAGCTTCTCTTTTTCCGGAGCATGGGCTCCTGAGTGCTCAGGCTTCCGTAGTTGTGGCATGTGGGCTCAAGAGTTGTGGTGCATGGGCTTAGTTGCTCTATGGCATGTGAGATCTTCCCAGATCAGGGATCAAACCCTTGTCTCCTGCGTTGGCAGGCGGATTCTTTACCACTGAGTCAGCAGGGAAGCCCTACAGATGGCTTTGACTTGACAGTTTTCCCTGCTTCAGGGGGTACCCAAACATCCCTTTAGTTTCAACCAGGAATCAAAGCTTGGGGTAATCCGTGTGCTCCCCCTGCCCCAGCCAGTGGTATTCCTCCTCTCTTGTCCAGGGATTGCCACAATTTCCCCTGGCTAGAGAGCCCTGTGCCTGAGTGCATGTGGTCTGGCTACCTATTTTGAAAAGGAAGGTAGGGTAGAAATCTGAGAAATCAGAGAAAAGATCTAGGAGAATTTGTGCCATGTGAGATCACATCTCTTGTTCACAGGGGTGGTGCTTCACCTGTTTTGGAGCTGGAGTGTCCTTACAGAAACTGATGAAAGCCAAGGATCCTCCCCACCCCACCTCCCACTTCAATGCTGAAGAAACCACTGATATGGAAATCTGGTGAAGAATTTGAGGGAGTCCACAGACTTTCTGAAGCTCATTCAGAGATTCTGTAGGAGTCCATGGCCCTTGAGGTATCCTGCCTTGTTTGAGATACTATTATTAATGTCCTCCTGTAGCTAGATTAATTCCTCTATCTGTGCTTAGGCCCCCATATCACAGGGCTCTCTGTCTCCATTATTTACAAGCCTCCCTATTCATCAACCTTTTTCTATTGAATGTCTTTTCCCTCTGCATTTAAACTTGCTTGAATATATCATGGCACACACACCAAAAAAGACACTGTGATTAGAAATATATAAATATCAATATATAATCTGCTTACACCACTCCTCCTTCACTAAATGAGCTCTTGCTGTGGTCCCTAGTGGCCTCATCATTGCTAAACCCAAAGACCACTTCTCAGCCTTTAGTCCTTTGGATTCTCGGAGGCACCCAACTTTGTCACCCTCTTGGAACACCTGTCTTCTCTTGACTCTCCATCCCATATTCTCCTGGATTTTCTCCCACCTCTACTCATTCTTAAGACTTTTTTTGGGGTTCCTTTTCCTCTCTCAGCGCCTTAAGAACATCAGGGCTCTGATATAGCCCTTCTCTCCCCATTTTAGTCTCCCTGAGCAATATGACCAACTTCCATGATTTCAGTTACCACCTCCATGCTGATCATGCTCTCACTGTATCTCCAGCTTAATCGTTCTCCTAAGCTCAGCCTGTATTTCCAATTCTTTCATCTGCATAGCCTCAGAAACCTCGAACTGAACTTACTGTCCTGGCTGTCTTCTGTTCATTCCTTCAGATGCTCTCTCCACCATTCTCCACGTGCTCTAAGCCCCACATCAGTGAGTTTCTCTGCTCTCCAGCCTCCAAGCCTCCTCCAGGGTTCCCTCCCAGGTGAATGGCACCAACCTCCATCCAGGGATACAAGCCAGAAATTTGGGCAACAGCCTAGACTCCCTGAGCTTTGCCACTTCCCTTTTCCGTTAGTTCTCAGATCCTTAGCTCTTGCAAGTCCATCCTCCTTTCCCTCTTCCCAATGCTATTTTGTGGAGACTTCCTAATTTGTGGAATGGTTTATTGTTCATCCTTCTAAATGGTCCCTGTCTCCAGTCTTAACTCCCTCCAGTCATTCTCAGCTCTCTGACCTTTTAACATTAGTTAAGCACTAACTGTAGTGCCTTGGGCCAGTTATGGGGAATCCAAGATCAGCAGAAACATGTTCTGCCATCAGGGAGACCATAGTTGGGGGTGGAGTTGAGGGAAGGGCTGACCAGTTTGGCAAATAAAAATAGGATATCCAGTTAAACTGGAATTTCAGATAAGCAATACTTTGTTTTAAGTAAGTATGTCTCATGTAATAATTAGGACGTACTTATAAAAAAAAAATGTTGTTTAGGTATTTCTCTGGTAGTTCAGTGGCTAAGAATCCACACTCCCATTGCAGAGTGCCAAGGTTCAATCCCTAGTCAGGGCACTAGATCTCACATGCTGTAATAAAAAGTTTGAATGCTGCAACTAAAGATCCCCCAATGCTGCAAGGAAGATTGAAGATCCTGTGTGCTGCAACTAAGACCCAGCACAGCCAAATACACAAATAAATATATTTTTAAAATGTTGTTTATCTACTATTGAAGTGGGTGCCCCCCTTTCTTCCTGGCAACCCTAGATGGGGGTAAACAAATGAACAGGAAACACAATAAATTATCCCAACAGAAGTATGATTAGGGCACAGTGATGTATGTCAGGGTTGGGGAGGATTCTATACTCACAAAGGAAGAGGAATCATTTCTACCTAGATGGACAGGGAAGAGCCAGGAAAGTCTTTGTGAAGGAGGCGGCTCTTGAACTGGGCCTTGAAAAATGAAATATTTGGCTTCATTGCCTCTCAGCTCTAAATCCCCCCTTTTCACCAGCCATGCCCTCTCAGCAGAGGCAGTAGCACGAACAAAGGCAGGAAGCATGGAACAGCCTGAAGAGCCAGGGAGTTCATGTAGAATTGGGGGAGGGTCCTCATCAAGACACAAGTCAAGAGAGATCATAACGGTCCTTGAGTGCTATACCAAGGAGCCTGGACTTTGTGCTGAGCGGAGCCGCTGAGGGTTTTAGGTGGGATTGTCTAGAGACATGTTTCAGATAGATGACCGGCCACTGTGTCTAGTTTGGACTGGAAGGGGCAAGGCAGGGGACACCAGTCAGAGCTGCTGTAGCTAGGGCTGCTCAGACAACAAATGCTGGCCCCTTGACCTAGGGCAGAGCAGCGTGGAAGGACAGCGAGATAGGAGGTGCAATCCATGGGACTTGGTGATGAACTGATGGTGAGGACCTGATGGAAGGGAGAGTTTTTGGGAGTCTGGCTTGGGCGACCAGTAAGAAATTTAGGGGATGTAGTATTTTTATCCCATGATGGGGGTAAGGTGTGGGGGAAGTCATATTTGAATTTGTACCTGTTCAACTTGACGTGCCCGTGACAGTTTCAGAAGGCAAGGAGGCTGGCAGCGGCTGGGTCTGAGGGTCAGGACAGTCTGGGCCAGAGAGATCTAAGAGTCATAAATCAAAGACAAGGAGGTGGTGAGCAGCAGAGGCTAAGGCTTGGAGACCCAGCAGTTTAGGAACAGGGAGAGGAGAAGGGACAAGGCTGTGAGGGAGACCAAAAGGGTGTGACCAGAGTGGTGGGGAAAACAAAGCAGAACAAGGGGAAGGAGCAGTCGAAGGGGCCAGATGCAGCAGAAAAACCACGTCACATAAGGACTGAAACTGTCCATTGGGTTCTCTGGGCACAAGGTGGCCTAGGGACTCAGGCTAAGCTTCTTGCTGAAAACAACTAAAATTACTTAGACAAAATATACACTTTTAAAAATTAATGCATCCATGAGCTGGCATACACAGAAGAAATATTCAGGCCAAAATAAACAAATACAGGAACTACAAAGGTAAACAAAGTTCAGTAGCTGGTATTCGCCTTGAGGGCATTTTCTTTACCTGGGGAACCTAGGCATTGGTTTGCAAGGGCTCCCTTGCAAAGACCTTATGGGGGCAGAGGGGGTCTACCTGGAACATTCTCAGTAAGGCCAGAACCCCAAAGGACTATGCCCACACCTAGAGGTGAACTAGAAATAAACCTTCTCCTCCTTTCCCTAACCTCTTTCCCTCAAACTACAAAGGGGGACTACAAAGAAAATAAACTTCCCTAGTGCAATTAAGCTTAGTGCTAAGTGAAAGGGGAGAAACCTCCCTGAGAATTCTTAACTACAGGCGGGGCCCTCATTTGGTTTTGCAGACCAAAATTCACACTGTTTTAGAAGGCTGAAAAGCTTCAAACTGGTTAATCTGTCATGGACATGGATTGCTAGTGGTTCCAGGTAACCAACAGAAGTTCTTTCTCCTCCTCTCCTGGGCTCTGGAATGCTCTCCTGAATTTGGGAACCCCTCCCAGGGTTGTCGGGGCTTCCCGGTGACTCAGTGGTATGGTTCAGGTGGCAAAGAGTCTGCCTGCAAAGCCGGAGATCCAGGTTCAATCCCTGAGTCAGGAAGATCCCCTGGAGAAGGAAATAGCTGCCCACTCTAGTATTCTTGCCTGAGAAATTCCATGGACAGGGGAGCCAGGTGGGCTACAGTCTATGCGGTTGCAAAAGAGTCTGGCATGACTCAGTGACTAAACAACAACAACCCAGGGTTGTCACAGGTTCTGGCCCCTATGTGTTCTATTCTTTTTTAAAAAAACAATTTTAATTATTTAAAAATTTTATTTATTTTTGGCTGTGCTGGGTCTTTGTTGCCTTTGGGAAGACTTTTCTCTAGATGCAGCAAGCAGGGGGTTACTCTTTGTTGCAGTGCTCGGGCTTTTCAATTGCGATGGTTTCTCTTGCTGCAGAGCATGGGTTCTATGTGCACAGCTTTCAGTGTTGCAGCATGTGGACTTTAGAGCTCGGGCTCGGCAGTTGTGGTGCACACACTCAGTAGTTACTCCATGGCATGTGGGATCTTCCAGATCAGGGATCAAACCTGTGTCCCCTGCACAGGAGGTGGATTCTTAGCCACTGGACTACCAGGGAAGCCCCCTCATTTTTTTTAGAAAGAGGTGGACAGATTTGAACACAGAATTTGTGGTCTTAACCCTCCCTCCATTCCTCCACCTTCCACAATGATATTTTAGTATCAGGGCCAAGACATTTCACACCCCTATGCACAGACCTGGAATCAGTACTTTATTGTGGCTTCCTGTTTCTTCTTTCCAAATTCCCCTTTCCTTCTTCAATGTATTATACTGTTGCAGGAAGGGGGACCCCCCTCCCAGGGCCCCAAATGGGGATCTTGTCAGACACATGTGCTGACAAAGCAAGAGGCTTTATTGGGAAAGGGCACCTGGGCGGACAGCAGTAGAGTAAGGGAACCCAGGAAAACTGCTCTGCCTCAGGGCTGGCAGTCTTGTTTTTATGGTGATGGGATTATGGGATTAACTTTCTGGGCTGTCTTTGGCCAGTCACTCTGACTCAGGGTCCTTCCTGGTGGCACACACATTACTCAGCCAAGATGGATGGCAGAGAGAAGGATTCAGGGAGGTGGTAGGACCTGTGGCGTCTCCTTTTGACCTTTTCCGAATTTTTCTGGGTGGTGGTGTCAGCTTGTTAGTTTCGTGTTCCTTACCATGACCTTGTGTGGTAAAATAAGTGAAGTCACTTAGTCCTGTCCGACTCTTTGCAACCCCATGAGCTGTAGCCTACCAGGCTACTCAGTCCATGGAATTTTCCAGGCAAGAGTACTGGAGTGGGTTGCCATTTCCTTCTCCAGAGGATCTTCTCAACCCAGGGATTGAACCCAGGTCTCCCGCCTTGCAGGCAGACACCTTACCATCTGAGCCACCAGGGAAGCCTGGTGGTGTGGTAAAATAACTCATGCAAATAGTTACTATGGTGCCTGACCAGGGTGGGCAGTTTCAGTCAGTGTTTCCTGTAACAATTCTATAGACAGATTTTTCTAAAGTGCAAATTCAATCATCAATGCCCACTTGCAACCTCATCATGGTTTCATATTGCACTTAGGATATAGTGTCAATTTGCCTTTCCAAGCTCATCACCTTCCTCATCCCCTCCCCCTTCCTCACCTTCACAGACAACCCCCTTAAAAGTGAACACAGCTAACTAACTGTACTTCAAACATTTTCTTGATGAAGATTTGTTGAATGACTAGATTCCCACTGGACTCTGCTTACCAGCTAATCAAGCCCCCTCCTCCCCAGTCTCTTGCTGTTCTTCTTCAAGCTCAGATCAAGTTTATCCTCCTCAGGGAAGCCTTCATCCACCTTCTCAGGCCTCAGTGGCTATAGCCAATGCCAGCTTCCTCCACTGAAGACAAGAACAGAAGTCCTTTCCTTTTTGATTTTTTTTTCCACTTGGGGTAGAGACTGCAGGAGACTTGGGCCGATCAGATCTGTGGCTGATCTCTGCTACCCTAGCTGTGTGTCCAGAGAAAAGATAAGCTCAACTTTCCCCAACTTCGGCTTCCTCATCTGAAAATAGTGAATGAAGATAACCACCACAGAGTTGCTGCGAGAATTGGACTTAAGGTATGCAATATGCTGTTCCTTGCACTTAAATATGAGCTAATTTAATTACTCATAAAGACAAGTTGCTTCCAAGAACCTAATGAAATTCTCCAAGCACTGTCCATGGTAAGTAGTTTCCCGGTTGCTCACTGGGTGGCCCTGAGAGCCTTCCTATTTTATTCCTGAGGCGCGCCAAGCCCCCTTCCTCCTCAGAGTGGTGCGGACGCGTTCTTCTCAAAACAGTACCCATCCTGGGCCCGAGGTCTTGCCGCCAGCGGAGCACCAGATTAACCTGTGTCCCCCCACCCCCTCAGCCCCCTCCCAAACACACACCTTAACCTCCAACCTGGCTTCCCAGCTCTATCCCACCGGCCCCTAGACTCACGTCCTCTTAGGGAGCTGCCCCGCAGGGCCTCTCGCCGGTCGAACTTGGCCGCAATAGGCCTGAGGCTGCCTGCGTTCGGCGGATACCCAGCCCACGTGCTCCCGGCCTCCGCCGCAAGACACCGCCTTCCCGCTGGGCGCCATGCGGACTACATTTCCCAGAGTGCACAGCGCCGGGGCCTTGGCTCCGTTGGGGGAGTTGCTCAAGCGGCGCGCCGCTCCGCGGCCTGCCTCGCGCGGGCAGGCGCGAGGATAAGGGAGGGGACCCGGAATGAGTTTCCGCGCAATTCCGCCGGGCCGTGTCGGGCTGTGCCGGCCGGGTCGGACCAGGGCAGGCGTGGGTCCGGGGGGAACGGCTTCTGAGTCTGCGGTGCGGCGGACAGGCGCTCGGGGCAGCCCGTGCCTCGCTGAGGTCCCCGCCCCGTCCCGGCCGGGCCGGCTCGCCTGTCAGTCACTGGGGCGGAGGCAGCGGCGGTAGCAGGGCCGGAGACGGAGGGTGAGAAGAGAGCGGGCCTGGCCGAGCCGAGGGGACCTGCCACAGCCCCCTAACTCCACGGACTCTTCGCCCGAGACTTGCGAAGCTGTACCCCTGCGCTTCGTTGGACGCCTCCGTAACCCGCGAAGGGCTCTCTCCCCCGTAACCTCCCACCCCCGTGACCTCTTCCTAGAACCCGAGATCTCACTAGGGTGTTGTGGTACAGGCCATCGACCCTGTGACCCCTTGATTTTCCCCAGGCCTCGCTTCCCTATGACTCCCTCCTCATAGATTCTGGGGACAGAACCCTGATCTACCATCAGGACCCCCGCCTGCAGACTCCTCACTGACGGCTTTCTCCTAGGAGTTTCCCTCAGTGGGTCTCCTCCAAAGAGCACCCCTTTTGGCCTCTGGCTAGCCCCCCACCCTCAACTGAGGTGGGGCGGCCTCGGCAGCCATGCTTGCCCTGGGACCCCTGTCACCCCACCACTTCCTGGGCACCCAAGCCGGAGTCTAGCAGGGGGCCGGCAGCCAAGAGGCTGGGGCAGGAGACAGGTCACGGTCCACCTCCCTGCTGGGGAGGGAGCAAAGATGGAGCGGCGGGAGGAGCAGCCGGGGGCTGCAGGGGCTGGAGCAGCACCAGCCTTGGACTTCACGGTGGAGAACGTGGAGAAGGTATGAGGGCCCTGGGGAGGGGCACTCCAGTGACAGAGCAGAAGTTCTGGGGACTGACACTAATGCCAGGGCCCAGGCCTGGGCTGGGTGCCTGTTGGGATGGTGCCTCCAGAGCACCTGGCATTTGCTCTCTCTCTGGGCCAGCCCACAGCAATGCAATGGTGTCTTAGGCTATTTTTGGCCTTCCATAGACACCGGTCCTCTGTGGATACTCTAGGGTCTTGGGTGGTCCCTCCAGGGTGCTGATGGTTTAGACCCTCCAGCCAGACTGGCTTCTCTCCAGCTCCATGGGAAATGCATGAGCAGTGCAGTAAGAAACCAGGAATGAGGGAGACTTGCAGCTCAGTCCCCAGAAACCAGAGTGATGCTGAGCCATCCTGGCCCTGTTTTGTTGAGCAGGGGCTCAGAAAATAATCTGAAACTAAAACAATCTGGGTTGTGTTTTCTTTCTTCCTTGGAGAAGGGTCCTTCGGTTATTGGCTGGAGGCCAGACCACTCCTGGGCAGGCGGAAGTAGGGCTGGCCCCTTGGTTTTGTGCTGGATCCAAGGGGCCTGGTCCTGCTGGCAGCTTCAGGGTCCTTCCCTACTCACCTGCCCACATGGCTTCCTGCCACGGCACTCTCAGGCTCCCCCACTGCTCAGTCTGTCTTTTTCAAACTGCTTCTCTATTTCTTTGCTGGGTTCTGCCCCCAGAGGCTGGGAATGTAGAAATGCTTTCCACCCTGGGATGGATGGGGGAGATGGGGCTACCGTGGTGGAAAACGGAATGGTTGCAGATACTCATTTGTTATTCTTGAGCCGCGTTTACCATACCCAGTGGTAAGGATGCATCTTTCTGCTTCTGTTCTCTGCCTGCCTCAGCATCCCAAAGGTCCAGACAAGGAACAGTGGCCGTAACTGGCTGTCAGGGGTACAGATAGGGCTCAATCTACTTGGATGGAGCCTGCTTGGGGTGAGAGTCCTGGCCTCACTCGTCCACCCCTTTGGGCTGGGCAGTGTTGGCATGGTGGCGCACTGTTCCTTGTGCCTCCAGGGAAATAAACCACTGTTTTCCTACTGTGTGAAGTCCTAATGGAATTGGGACCCTGGGGATTTAGCTAGTTGAGAGCTCCAGGTTAGGCATATGCCAGGGCTGCAGGCCAAGACTTCTCTGGACCAGCTTTTTGGACCCTCTTGTGTGCTCTCGGAATGTTCTCACCCTCCCTTCCAGTTTGTCTCTGCCCTAGGGCTGCCTGGCAAAGTCTTAGTCCTGCTCAGATTTCACAGTGGCTTTGGTGCCAGCATCTGGAGTGACCTAGGGATGATCCTGAGGGAGCTCAATGGAGCTTTTGGAGTAGATGAGAGCAGCTGTGCCTGGGAGGGTTGGAGGCAGGGGGTGGCTCAGGCTGTTCCATGCTCTTCTCAGGCTTAGCTTCTTCTTTATGGAGCCACTCCTTCCACCCAGGCCTTGCCCTTTACCTCAGGTGCTTTTCCTTTGGGGAACTTGGCCTCCTCTTTTGCTGCTTTCCTGAATAAGGTCACGCTCCCAACCCCTAAGGTTTTGCTATAAAGAGAAGAGGCTATGGTGGAGTGTGGGCAAGTTCAGGCTCTCAAGATACCGGCCGGACCCCAGGTCCATGAAGCACTGCTGAGCCTGATCTCTCCCTTCCCGCTCAGCCCCCTGGTCAGAAAGAGAGGACAGTTTTGCAGGACCAAATCATGGCCTATGTTCTGGGCTCTGGCAGGATCCAGAGTGGCCAGCACCTGCTCAGTCTTGTGCTGTCCTGCAGGCGCTGCACCAGCTCTACTATGACCCCAACATTGAGAACAAGAACCTGGCTCAAAAGTGGCTGATGCAGGCCCAGGTGTCCCCACAGGCCTGGCACTTCAGCTGGCAGCTCCTGCAGCCGGACAAGGTGCCTGAGATCCAGTACTTTGGGGCCAGCGCCCTACACATCAAGATCTCTCGCTACTGGAGTGACATCCCTACTGACCAGTATGAGAGCCTAAAGGCACAGCTCTTCACCCAGATCACCCGCTTTGCCAGTGGCTCCAAGATTGTGCTGACTCGGCTGTGCGTGGCACTGGCCTCACTGGCTCTCAGCATGATGCCCGACGCTTGGCCATGTGCTGTGGCAGATATGGTACGGCTGTTCCAGGCCGAGGACTCACCGGTGGATAGCCAGGGCCGCTGCCTGGCCCTGCTGGAGCTGCTGACAGTGCTGCCCGAGGAGTTCCAGACCAGCCGCCTGCCCCAGTATCGCAAAAGCCTGGTGCGGACCAGCCTGGCAGTGGAGTGTGGGGCTGTCTTCCCACTGCTGGAGCAGCTGCTGCAGCAGCCCAGCTCACCCAGCTGTGTGCGTCAGAAGGTGCTCAAGTGCTTTTCCAGCTGGGTGCAGCTGGAGGTACCGCTGCAAGACTGCGAGGCGCTCATTCAGGCTGCCTTCGCTGCTCTGCAGGACTCAGAGCTCTTTGACAGCAGTGTGGAGGCCATTGTCAATGCCATCTCACAGCCTGATGCCCAGAGGTGAGCCAGTCCCAACCTTCCCGGAGATGGACAGCCTGCTTGGCCAGCCACACATCCATCCATCCATCTGTTCAGTAAACACTAATTGAGTACCTACTACATGCCTGGCCCTATGCTGAATATACAGCAAGGAACCAAACAAGACATGGTCCTTGTCCTTGTGGTTCAGAGAGGGAGACAGACGTTAGACAACAAACCATCCAACGAATTATTCAATGAAAATATTTGATTCTCCCTTCTTGTTCTCTTAGTCAGTCGCCAAGTCCTGGCTGCGCTGCTCCTGACTATGCTGCGTATCTTTTCCATTCCCACTGCCCCCACCCTATTGTAAGGTATCCTCATCTCTCTCCCCATATTATTGAGGGGATTCCTCACCAGTCCCCTGGTTTTCACACTTGTACCTTTCATTGCCCACCCAGCACCCAGAGAAATCTTTTTAACAATGAGGGTCTAATCTTTCCTTTCTGCTCAGAAATTCCCAGTGGCCCCACACTGCTCTTAGGATAAAGTTCAGAATCCTCAATGTGATTCACGAGGGCGAAGCACAGCATGGCATCCCCAGCCTTGTCCCGAGCCATGCTACTTCCTTTCTTCACTCTCACACAAACTTCTCAGTTTCTTGTGTCCCAGGCTCCTTCCAGCCTCCAGACCATCGCATGGACTTGTCATATCATCGTTGCCTGATCTGAAACTTCACTTCCTTGGGAAAGTCCTCATGATTTTTAAGACTCAGTTTGGTCTTCTCTATTATTTTATCTCAGTACTCCCAGTGTTTTTCCTTCTTAGCCTGTAACGCAGTTTCATTATAAATTAGTGTATGTCTCCCCATTAGTCTCTCAGCAATGTGAGGACAGGCTCTCTGTCATTTTATTTTGTCACATTGTGCCTGGCAGCACTTGGTAGCATTCATTATTTTTTAAACAGAGGAAAAGTAGGAGTTGCCTACTTGGTGAGGGTCAGGGGTGGGAGAGGGTGGAAGGGGAGCGAGTGTTCCAGGCTTCGGGAGCTATAGCAGGGGCAAAGGCATGTAGTGGGCAGCACTACCATAGACTCAAGGATCCAAAACAAGGTGAGTGTAATGAGATGTTTCCTCAGGAAATGTTGCTTGAGCATCTGTTTATGTGTGGGATCTAGGCTGACCACAGGGAACCTAAAGATGGATAGGTTGATTTCTGCAAGTCAAGAGCTCAGAATCCAGGAGACACATGGATGGCAAGTGCAGCCTACGTGATGGGTGCTCTAATGGAGGGAGCAGGTTGCCGTCAGAACTGAGAGGAGGCATTTAACCCAGTGTGAGGGTATGAAGGGCTTCCCAGAGGAGGTGCTAACTGAGCTGTGCTTTGAAGGCTTTGTAAGAGTTAGCCAGATGGAGGTAATGGACATGGGGAGGACGTTTCAGACCGACGGAAGAGCCCAAGCAAGAAAGGGTGTGAGAGAGCCTGGCGAGTGGGTGTGATTAAGCAGCAAAGTGTAAGGGCCAGTGGTAGGAGACCTAGACCCGGATCATCAAGGCCTTGTTGACCAGGCTTAAGATTTTGGTCTTTGTGCTGAAGAGGATGTAATAAGAGAAAATGGCGTGATGAGATTTTTGGTATAAGTTGGGTTGGCTGGGGCAAGCCTGGAAGCCTGATACTTCACATTTCAGAGAAAAGTCTTTTGAGAATGCTCAGCAGAGCCAGAGGGGGAAATACCATTGAAAGGGATGGCCTGGGGAAGTGGCTGGTGGCTCTAGCCTTGGCATTAGTCATGTTTGTGTTTGAATCCCATATGATTCACTTCCTAGATCTGAGACCTTAGATAAACCACTTTTAAGCCTCAGTTTCTGTTATCAGTAAAATGGATCATTATACAGAGTTTAAATAGAAGAGTGTGCCCAGGGCCTGACCCTGGTATTCTGGGAATATTTTGGTATGAAGATTCAATAAGAGAATGTTTGTGAGAGCTTGACATCGCATTAATGGCGGTTACTAGTATTTGGTATCATGATTGCTTTGGCAGTTAGTGTGAGCCCTTTCCCATGGCTTCTCAGCTTTTCCAGCTTAAGGTGGGTACCAAGTCCTAGGTCAGAGCCTTTCTTGGCTGGCTAGGCTCAGACAATTGGTGGCTAAGGGGAATTGGCAGGGCCAGTGTGTGGGTGATATGAGGTGTCCTTGGATACACCCAGGTTTCCCCGGCTAGCCAGTCTCGAGGGCTTTGGCAGGTAATTGATGCCTCTGCTCCTCTGAACGAATGAGCAAGCAAGGAGCCAGTGAGGGAACCTATAGCCTCCTGAGCGCCCATTGGCTGCAGCCCCCTTGGTTGCTTAGCAACTCTCCCCATTTTCTCAGCTCTGCTCCCAGAGCTCTAATTGCAGGTCTGGGCTGAGCTCAGTGTGAGTGGCAGCCAAGGAGTCCCAGCAGCTCTGCCCCGGCAGCTCAAGCTGACCAACAGGAGCCAGGCCTTTTGAACCCAGGCTCAGCTGTGTGTTTTAAAGACATCCTCTCTATCTCCCTCCCCCAAACCTAGAAGCCTCGAAGCCTCAGGTGCATTCTGTTTGCTCACAGGTCTCAGGCACAGGTGTCCGGGTGGTAGGAAATCAATGCAAGAGTTTCCCCTATGGGTGGACTGCATCCAGCCTGGAGTCAGTGTTTGGGCCTTGCTCTGTCTAGTCCATTTCCTAACTTTGGCTTGAGAAAGTCATCTTCAGTGGCTTTGAATTTTGGGTCATCCAGCCACTCTCCAGGTGTCTTGACGTTGGCTCTCTCCTTGGCTGAGCTTGCACTCAAGTCACCATTTTCCCACCCCATCCACAGCTGCTGCTGTTTGCCTGGCTCTCTCTCCTTTGAAAAAAAATTTTTCCTGAGATTTGTTTTTCATCCTGGGAAAGCTTGTTGCTGGGGGGCTGGAGAAGGGAAAAAAGATGAATTAGACAGGCTCGTGGGAGCTCCCATCAGTTAGAATTTGAGATATGTGCTGAGATCTGCATAGATCCTTTGAGGAAATTCAGGTTGGGCCCTGAAACAGAAGCAGACCTATAGCAGTGCACAGGGCTGTCTTAACCTGGAATCTGTCACTATTTGATCTGTGACCTTGAGTAATGCTCTGAGCTCTACTGGGCTATATTGTCCTTGATTTATTCTGTTACGAGGCAGAGATGAGACAAATTAAGAACTTTGATTACCTACTGTGTACATGAATTTTGAAGATGTGAGGGAGCCTTGGAATTCAATGAGTATGCTGTGGGGGTAGGGCACTACCTCCTGCTGCCATCTCAGCTACTGGGCAGCTCATGGGCCATGGCCTTGGCCTTGCCCCTACTCATTGTGCCGGAGTCTGGCCTGAAGGTGCCCATTGTCTTGTGGTGCAGCCCGTGTCAGGGCCATGAGACAAGCCATCCCCGCCGTCTCCAGGCCACACCCTCTGGAGCTGTCTCTGGGCTGCGGGTAATCTGGTATGAACATCTTGTCCCACCAGAACCGGAATGTGGAGGCCAGCATCCTGGACTGGTTGCCTCTTGTCCTTCTCATCCTTTGCCTAAGGTTACCTTGCCGGGGCTACCTCCTAGCAAGCTGCTTGGGGCAAGTCCAGATAGAACTCCTTCTGGATCTTCGGTACTGCCTCCCCTCCATAGATTGCTATGGTGACACTATGATTGGCAGTAGAGGGATCTCCCCCCCACCCCTCCCCCAGAGTATCACTTTCTCTGCTTAGTCTCATCTCCACAGAGCAGGCAGCTGGGGATGGAGCTAGCCTTCTCTCATTCTCCTTTGTATATTCTGCTTCCTTTGCTCCTTCCTTAGGGATCACTGTGCTTCAGTGCTCTGGCTCAGACCCTTTTCTCATTCAGCACTTATGCATGCACGCATGCTAAGTCGCTTCAGTCCTGTCTGACTCTTTGCGACCCTACGGACCATAGCCCACCAGGCTCCTCTGTCCATGGGATTCTCCAGGCAAGAATACTGGAGTGGGTTGCCATGCGCTCCTCTCAGTCGACACTTAATTCTTGGTCACTTTCCATCCATTCCCATAGCTGTTTGCTGATAATTCCAAAATCTATGTCTCTTGCTCTTACCTCTCCATTGGGCTTCAGGTTTTTATATCCAGTTCTCTCTGAACACTTCTACCTGCCTATTTCCCTGGGTACCTCTGATTCAGTATGCCTAACATTGAACTTAACACATTCTGGCCTCCCGTTAAATTTATTACTGTCCCCATTCATCCTCTCCTCCAGGTCTCAGTAATATTTCCACCAGGGAGAGTTCTTGACTCTTAGCTATCCTTCTATCCCTGTTTTATCTCTGAGTTCCCTCTGAGTTCATTCCCTCCCTTACTGCCACCAGACTCCTTAGCAGTTAGGATTTGGAGTTAGGAGTGGAGGGTGGGGGTTGATGCTCTCAGGAGCTGTTGCTGTCTCCTGAAGTTTTTAACAAGACTCTTCTGTCTTACCTCTTCTGTCTCCTATCCTCGTTCAATCTCCCCTGATACTGATGGTATTAGTTTCCTACAGCTGCCATAATAAGGTACCACACCCTGGCACATGCGACAGAGATTTATTGTCTCACAGCTGTGGAGCCTGGAGGTCTGAAATGAAGGTCTCAGCTCCCTCTGAAACCTGTAGGAGCACCCTTCCTTGCCGCCTCCCAGCTTCTGGTGCTTTGCTCGCAATCTTTGGTGTTCTCTCGGCTTGCTGCATGATTCCAGCCTCTTCCTTTTTTGTCACATGTCATCCTTCCTGGAGGTCTCTGTCTTCACATGAATGTCTTCTTTCAAGAACATCAGTCATATTGTATTAGGGCCACCCCCCTACTCTCTGATCTAATCTGCAGTGACCCTGTTTCCAAATCAGGTCACATTCTGAGCTACTAAGGTTAGGGCTTCAACACATCTTTTTTGGGGAAACAATTCAATCCATAGCTGTCTTATTCTCCGGCCCCCAAAATTTATTTGTCCTCCCCACATGCAAAACACATTCACCTCATCCTAACCTCCCTAAAAGTCTTAAGCCATTCAAGCATCAGCTCTAAGTCCAACTGGAGGACACAGGTCCAGCCACACTAACTTTTTTGTATATCCTTTCCAGAGTTCTCCTGGAGGTCTCTGACCTAAAGTTATTCCCAAATTGGGCAACGTCAAACCTGCCACATAGGCCTTGCCCCTGACCTCTTTCTTGCTTTGGCTTTGATGTGGAAAGTGGGTCTTTGATGGACAACAGAGAGATTGTGCCTTTCTCCCAAAGCTGGTGGGGGATGGGCAGACAGTTCTGATGCGTCTCCTCACCCTCTGCCTCCAGGTACGTGAACACACTCCTAAAACTCATCCCACTGGTGCTGGGACTGCAGGATCAACTGCGACAGGCAGTACAGAATGGGGACATGGAGACCTCCCATGGCATCTGTCGCATTGCTGTGGCTCTGGGCGAGAACCACTCCCGGTGAGGAGAGGGGCAGCTGCAGGTGGGATAGCAGGACCCTCAAAGAAGTAAGGGAGATAGAAGGACCTCCCCATGTCTTCTCCCTCCCAGGGCCTTGCTGGACCAGGTGGAGCACTGGCAGAGCTTCCTGGCCCTCGTCAACATGATCATGTTCTGTACGGGCATCCCTGGCCACTTCCCTGTCAACGAGACCACCAGCTCCCTGACCCTCACCTTCTGGTACACACTGCAGGTGTGTCACGAGACCCTCAGTGGACCTGGGCTATGATGGAAGAAGGGGGTCATGACATCTGTGGCTAACTCTCCTGCCTGCTTCTCTCAGGATGACATTCTGTCCTTTGAGGCAGAGAAACAGGCTGTGTACCAGCAGGTGTACCGGCCAGTCTACTTCCAGCTGGTGGATGTGCTTCTGCACAAGGCCCAGTTCCCTTCTGATGAAGAATATGGATTCTGGTCCTCAGATGAGAAGGAGCAGTTCCGAATTTACAGGTGACGCAAGCAGGCCAATCCTAGCTCTAAAGGGAGTCCTGAGATAATGAAGGCAGTGAGGGGAGGGGCCCAAGGCCAGGTTCCATGAATCCTGGGCCTCACTTCTCTGTTCTCTAGGCACTTTGGCGGGGCTATGAGGAAACTGGGGTGGGCTCCCGTGCTTGGGGGAGGCATCCAGGCAGTGTATAAGGCCTTCATCTGCTTCTTAGGGTGGACATCTCAGACACGCTCATGTATGTCTATGAGATGCTGGGGGCCGAGCTCCTCAGCAACCTCTATGACAAGCTGGGCCGTTTGCTCACCAGCTCAGAGGAGCCCTACTCCTGGCAGGTACCTCCCCAGCCTGATTCCCTCAGCCCTCCCAGATCTGTCACATCCTCCTCCTCAGCCAAGCCAGTGGCATCCTCTTTCCCCAGCACACAGAGGCCCTACTCTATGGCTTCCAGTCCATCGCAGAGACCATCGATGTCAACTACTCTGATGTGGTGCCTGGGCTCATTGGCCTCATCCCACGGATCAGCATCAGCAACGTGCAGCTGGCAGACACCGTCATGTTCACCATTGGTGAGACTTGCCCCACACCCATGAGCACATCCCCAGAGCCACAGCACACATACCCAGCCCACTTGCTGGGTCCTGTCCAAAGTGGGAGACATAAGTGCGCACACACACAATCAGAAACTACAACCAGTTGACTGTTCTGGCATGTGTAGGGGTCCTTGATAGAGTGCGCTGAGCTGTAGTTCAGTGAGGCTAGTTTGTGGCCACTGCAACAGTGGCGCGGGGCCTCTACTGAGTAACTCCTTCCCGCTTATCAGCAGTAAGGTTCATGTTTGAGCCCGTATGTGCATATTTGCTAATCCCATATTCTGAACACACAGCACTCTCTCTGTTTAGCGGCTCCAGATCCACCCTGCCAGGAGATGTGCCTGCCTTGCAGGGACCTGGCACACAGCCAGCCTGGCCTGCCTCAGATGTCTTCCCTTCTTCCCCTAGGAGCTCTATCTGAGTGGCTGGCTGACCACCCCGTCATGATCAACAGCGTTCTACCCCTTGTGCTGCATGCCTTAGGCAATCCCGAGCTCTCTATCTCTTCTGTGTCCACCCTCAAGAAGATCTGCCGAGAGTGCAAGTATGACCTGCCGCCCTACGCTGCCAACATCGTGGCTGTCTCCCAGGTACCCCAGGGCCCTGGGTGCAGCTGGGCCTCAGGGCACAGTCTGCCCTGCACTGACACCATGTTCCTTCTCTTTATCCCTAGGATGTGCTGATGAAACAGATCCATAAGGTGAGTTCATAAGTTTCTAGGGGGCTCGGCTGTTTGAGGTATTGGGGGGATCTGAAGAAATCCTGTCTTCTGCCTTTGTGTCTTATTCTCTGTTCTTGGAACCTTCCCCAAGAGGTTCATTCTTCCCACCCACAACCAGGTGTGTCTGGGACTGACCCTCCATGTTCTGCCCCACAGACGAGCCAGTGCATGTGGCTCATGCAGGCGCTGGGCTTCCTGCTATCAGCCTTGCAAGTGGAGGAGATCCTTAAAAACCTGCACTCACTCATCTCACCATATATCCAGCAGCTGGAGAAGCTGGCAGAAGAGATAGTGAGTGAACTGTTGCACGTGCATGTGTGTGTATGTGTTGTATGTGGCCGCAAGCAGCGGTGGGTCTCTGGGGCTGCCCTTTGTGTGGGCTCTGGCTTAGCTGCTGAGGGGTGGGCTGGAGCTGGCAGTCAGGGCTGGGAGATCCAGAGCTTGGTTCCCTTCTCCCTATAGCCTAATCCTTCCAACAAGCTGGCCATTGTCCACATCTTGGGGCTTCTCTCCAACCTCTTCACCACACTGGACGTCAGTCACCATGAGGATGATCATGAAGGCCCTGAGCTCCGGAAGCTGCCAGTGCCACAGGGACCCAACCCCGTGGGTGATGTTGTCATTGCCACTGCACCCCCTCCCCACCCTGTGGGAATGTCATAGTCACCCCTGAACTCTATGGGTAATGTTGTCATTGTCTCCCTGGCCCCATGGGGCATGATGCATTTGGTCCTTTGACCCTGTGAATGACCCTCCCACTGCCCCCTGCTCCATAGGGAGTGATGTCATTGTCTCACTCAGTCCTGTGGTGATGTTGTCTTTGTTCCTAGCCTAACTGGGGTGGTGGTATAGTGTTTCCTTCTTCCCATGGGGGACACTGACATTATACGTCCTAAGTGATGTAATTATGGTACCCTGTTTAACCCCCAGCTCTGTGGGGCCTTCTACTTCAGCTGTCACCGTCCTCTATAGGCACTCAGGATGCTACATACTCCACATATAATAGTTCTTGCCTGTGAGTGGCTTTTGGTCTAGAGGAAATACATGTAAACAGATTGTCACAAAGCACTGTGATAAGTGCTGTGGTAACTTTGGCACAGGACGTTGGGGTGACTACTTATGAGCTGTTTAGTCTGGGACAAGCCTTAGCTGCCCATTCAAAACTATGAACATCAGGATATCTGATGCTCATCTTATAGAACTGTGCTGAACAGCAGGTGTAGTCTTGTTTAAAAGTACTTTGCATACTGTAAAACTCTTTACCGATGCGAGGCACTGCTTTAGTCATTGTTCCAAGTACCTCTCCAGTGTTTTCTCCTGGAGAAAAGGTAGCCACAGTATCCTGGTCCCTCTGCTCAACTCCCCACCCCAGTGTCAGTCACCCTTTTGGCTCCAGACCAAACCAAAGCCACTGTCCTCCCAAAGAACCCCTCCTTCTTCTATGGTAGTCATCATCCCTCCTTCCCTCACCTCCCAGGACCTCAGGCTGCTCTGCTCCACCATAAGCTGCCCGTATCTACGCATCCCTTGGGGCTCTCTACCCTAAGCCTATCTGGGTGAGACAGCATCTCTGCTTCTTCAGGGGCTGGTCCATAGGCCTTTGGCACTAAAATGCTTTTACTGAGCCCAAGTAGATAAGGAGTGACTTTTTTAAAAGATCACAAAGTTTTAATAGTCTTCTGAAGCTTGCAGTTTGAGGCTTCCTCTAAGATGACCCCTAGAATTCAGGCTGTCTTTGATTCATGGGGGTTCAGCAAAGCACTCCTTCCCCAGGGTCCTGTGTACCAAGTCTTCAGCGTGCAGTCTGGGGCAATAGGTTTGAAACTCCTGGCCTCCCTCCAACTGCCAAGTAGTCCTTCTCGGGTGGATGAGAGTGCAGTGGGGGCACCTCACTTCTTCCTGTGTCTTCAGGTGGTGGTGGTACTGCAGCAGGTCTTCCAGCTTATTCAGAAGGTGCTGAGCAAATGGCTGAATGATGCCCAGGTGGTAGAGGTGAGTGCTGACCCTTGCCATCAGCCCCAGTGGTGACTCTGCTCAGAGATGGAGCTTCCACCGCTTCAGCTTGCTATGATCTGGAGGAAGTGAAGGAGACAGATCCTGCCCCATAGACGCTCAGAATCTCTGGGGAAGAAACTTCCTGGTGTCACAGAAATGCTGCACCCAAGGCTGTGATGCTGGGGCTGAGTGACAGTCAGGGATCCATCTTAGCATCCGACACCTGTCTTGGTTCCATCCAGTTCAGGAGTTTCTCGCTATTGTTGCTCCCTGAGAGGCCGTGGTGGAGATGTGAGGAGCTGGAGTTAAGTTACAGAGTTCCATCCTCAGCCCCTCTGAGAAGGGCCTTTTAGCCTCTTGCCTTCCAGGGTGTGGGTCAGACTAGCCTATCTTCCAGGGTTCACGTAGCAAGGCAGGGCTGGTGGGTAAGGGCCCCTTTGTAGGCCTCCTCCATGCAGGGCCTCCGTTCTGTTGTAGCCAGTGGTGACCTGCTGACCAGGCCCCCTTTGCTTTCTTCCCAGGCGGTGTGCGCTATCTTTGAGAAGTCCGTTAAGACGCTGCTGGATGACTTTGCCCCCATGGTGCCACAGCTGTGTGAGATGCTGGGGCGGATGTACAGCACCATCCCCCAGGCCTCCGCTCTTGACCTCACTCGACAGGTGGGCCTTCATCCCAGGCAGAGATCTGACCCAGGGATTGGGCGGGTGGGTGGAGTAGGGTGGATGGCTGCTCTGGCAGGAGTCCTCGCCTGCATTCCAGGGATGCTGGCCTGTCCTGGTGGGCCAGGGCCTCTGCTGACCCGCACTCCCTGCTTTTTGCAGCTGGTCCACATCTTTGCTCATGAGCCTGCCCACTTCCCCCCCATTGAGGCCCTCTTCCTGCTCGTCACCTCCGTCACACTCACCCTCTTCCAGCAAGGTAGGTCCCGACCAGGGTCTCTGCTGCTGCCGCCACTGCCACTGCCTCTGCTTCCCTGACTGGGGAGCCACAGCTGCCCACTGTTCTCCTCTCTCCCCTGAGTTGCACATGGGTTTTGATGTGAAAGTAACAGAATCAAGCACAGCACAGTTGTCACCTTACAGATAGTTGACACCTTAGGTGGAAGTAGACAAGAGAGTGAATGATGTCTTCTCCTGGGCTCAGGGCCAGGCCGGATGTGGGGGAAGTTGGGGCTGGAAGCTCTGAGGGACTTGGAGCACCAGGCTTTCCTTTGGGGTAGAATGTAAGGTGACAAGAACATGGGCTTCGAAGTCAGCTAGACCTAGATTCTAAGCTCATGACCACCAACTAGTTGTGTGACCTTGGGCAAGTCACATACCTTTTCAGAGCCTTTGTTTCGATATCTATGAAATGGGGATGTCAGATACTTGCTAGGATTGTTAATAGGTATTAAAGTAGCATCTTTCGGGCCCCTGGCTTGGGGATTTTGCACATGATGTACTCACAGAGTGCTGGTTCCTTTCCCTGCATTGAGACTCATTCCTTTCTAGGCCAGAAGCCTTTGGCTGTGATCCCAGCCCCCCAGTCACTACGGCCCTCTGCCTGAGAGAAGTTGGGAGTGGGGGGCTCCAGGCTTCCCCTGCTGCCTAACCCAGGCTTCTCACTTGGAGGAGAAACAACGTTGTTCCGTCAGCCACCTGAGTTTGCCTAGAGCCACGCTCACAGGCTTGAGGCTCACCAGGAGTCTTAGCTGGAGTCAGAGTGCTCTCTGCTTCTGTCCTCAGTATTTGGTCCCCTGATGCTGACCTCTGCTCCGGTGGACCATGGGTTGTTTCCAGAGTGGGGAGAAATCTGAGCCAGAACCCGGATGTGGTCCTCCTCAGCCTCACCTCCCCCCACCCTCCATGGCCACTGTTCCATCTGGATCGCCTCAGCAATCTTCTGACTGGTTTCCCTGGCATCTGCCCTTCTCCAACCTGTTCTGCACCCAACAGCTGTAATATTTTTTATAAGACACAAATCTGAGCACTTTGCCCTCCCTGGCTTAAGGCCCTTCCTTTGCTCCCCATCACCCTCAGGTTATGGTCCCACTGCCCGCCACCACGTGACATAGACCTGCATACTTCTCATCGGTCATTCCTGAATGGCTCCAGCAGTCCAGCCACCCTGATATTTCCCCCATCATGTCCCCTTTGATCTCTGTGCCCTGCTCCTCTGCCTGGATTGCCCTGTGCCCTTCACTGGGTGAGCTCTCTCTCCTCCATGCCTTACCCCTGCATCAGTCCTCGGAAGCTTCTCTAAGGCAGAGCTGGGTGCTTCTGACCTTGCGCCAGAACTGCATGGGCACACACCGCTGATACAGCGTTGATCACACTCAGTAAGCAGCGTCCATGACTGTCTCCCTCCCTGGACTAAGCCCCTCAAGGGCAGGCTTGGGTCTCTTCTGAATCCCTCAGAACAAGGGCAGCAGAGACCAGACACCAGACATTGTTGAAGAAAGGAGGCAAGGTCTCCTGGCTCTTGGAGCCTTTCTTCCTCACTGTCCAGCCCACCTCTAGCAGGGCGGCTGCTGAACCTCAAACCTGCCATCTACAGGGACCCCAGGCTTGGGTACGTTGGGCCTCACTTTACAGGACTTGCCCCCTAAGTTTAGGGGGCAGATGTGGAACGGACAGGCTTTATCAAGCGCTTCTCACAGCCTGAAGGAATTAGGGAAGAGATGATTACCGACTTGAGAGTCGGGGAAACTGAACGTGGATGGCTTGCACAAGATCACACAGCTGCTTCGTGGTACCGCAGGCAGGGGTTCCCACAGCGTCTCCCCCTGAGAGTGGGGCGGCCAGGCAGGGGCTCCAGGCCACGCTTCGTCCTTGCTGAAGGTGTCATCAGCACTGGAGGCAGGATAGTGTCCAGCACCCTATTTGTTGGGCCTGTTGGTTGTCTTACAGGACAGGCTGCCCCCCCTCACCTGCTTCGCTGTCCCAGTCTTGCCATACCTTCCTCGGGCTCTGCCCTCCCACTGCACCATGGGGTGGCACTCTGACTGGTTTCCCTTTCTTCGTGCGCCCAGATGGTGGGAGGGGGTCGTCAGCCTGAGCCTGGCTCTCTGCTGAGTCTTTGTCCATGCGGAGGGGCATTGTGGGCGGGGCTCTCATTTTTGCCTCATCATGCAGCTCCTTCCCCTGGGCCTTGACTGGCCAGCCTCACAGCATATCAGGCACTGCCGAACCCAAGAAGGAGTCTTGGGGATTAAGAGAACCCTGTAGATTCCTTTCTTTGGTTAGACCAAGAGCCCTAAGGGCAAGGAAGGGAGCAGACACCTGCTCAGACCATGATGCCCGGGAAGGGCTTTCAGCCAGGCCTCCCGTGGCAGTACCAAGGACCAATCTCCCACCAGCCCTGCCCTCCTCTTGATGATGAGTGATGGGGAGGTATGTGATCGGAAGCAGTGTAGGGCCACTGCAGTATGCCAGAGGCCACAACAAGAGTGTGGGGGCTGTTTGTCCAGCTACATGGTGGCCAGCATTGCTCAAGCACTGCAGGGTCCCTTGGGGACTGACCTGGGGAGGAGTAGGTGGAAGGCCCCTTGGGAGGGAGCTGGGGCAGACCGTCCTTCACTTTGCCGTCTCTTTCTGTTGGGCTTCTCCCAGTTCATGGTTTTTGTATGTTTTGTTTCTTTATCTTGCTTCCTGCTGCTCATGTGCCCCCACGCTGTCTCCCTGCAGGCTCTCAGTCCCACATAACTATATGAGGTTGAGTTGCTGTTTGTATAATTTTTTCTTAAGTTCCATCTTTATTATATTTTAGGGCCCAGGGATCATCCTGATATTGTTGATTCATTTATGCAACTCCTGGCACAGGTGTGTTTTAGTTTTATTCATTCACGTTCTGTTCTCTCTCTTTCTCTTTCTCTTATGTTGAAATTCAATTTAAGCCTATTTTTAGCTTTCTGTTGACAAATTTTTTTTTCTGTTCAGTTGAATAGAGTTTCTTCATCTGTTTCCGTGGAAGTTGACAACCCAACATCCTCCTTTAGTGCCCCTTTGCCTCAACTAGCTCAGTCCTCCACAGAGACCAGGGAGAGGCTGATCTGAGGGGAGGGCGCTGGGCTGGCCTGAGGGGTGGGCATGGGAGGGGCAGCGCCTGTGGGCCCAAAGTGACCAAAGGGCTCAGGGCCAGGACCAGAGTGGAAGGGCCTGGGGTTCGCTGTCCCTGTGATCCTGCGGGGAATGGCCTGCCTCAGTGCCCCCAGCCTGCTCTTGAGAGGTAGGCTGGGAGGAGCTCCGAGGGAGAGGCCAAGCTGAATGTGCTGCAGTGGAGCCCAGAGCTGGGCTGTCGCTGGGCTGCCGGACAGGTCCTGCTGCTGCTGGGAGGTGGGGTGCTGGCTCCATTGCGAGATGCGTTTGGTGTGTGTTTAGGTGTGTAGGAACTGACTCGCGTGTTTTGAGTGCGGTTTGGGCAGGGAGCAGAAGCCACGTGGCTGCTGTAAGCAGTATGCATGTTGTTCTGAGTGTCAGAGTAAGCGTGTAGTTGTCGTGAGCCTGTGCACTGATGGGTGTGGTGTGCTGATGTGTGTTGGACATGGACGAGTTTGAGTGTCGATGTTTGCTGGAGGTGTGTGTGTGTTGGGCTGTGGGAGCGCGTGTTATGGGGGCAGGAGTATATGTGGTAGTGGTGTGTCCGTATGAGGGGTTGTATGTTTGGGGAGATGCGTGTGTCAGGCTGTGGGGGTGTGGGGTTAGTATGTGTATCAGCGAGTTCCTGTGAGTTGGGGGCTCCTGTGGGTTGGGGTCCATGATGTGTTTCTTTGTTTAATCACTCCACAAATATTTTTTCAGTGTGTTATACGTGCTTGGTCATGTGGTAGGTGCTGAGAGTGTAATGGTGAGCAAAAGCAGACACGGTTCTTACCCTCTTGGAACTTACAGCCTAGTAGAGGGGGTGTAGGAGGAGGGGGAATGGACAGTGTGCTCTGGGCCTGGGTGGACATGTGTGCGAGGGTGTATCTTTGGGGCGAGGACATTTGAGTGTGGGTATGTGTGGGGAGAGTGCACATGCTGGAGAACTGGGTAGGATGAGGGCATGGGTGTGTGGACATGGTTTGGGGATACAGGGTTGAGGGTGGGATGTGAATGTGTAGCAAGGGTGTGTTGCAAATGGGGAGAGTGGTGTACACAAGGGATATGATTGAGGTGTGATAGAGGGTAAGTAGGGCATTTCAAGTGAGGGGGCATGTGGGGCTGTTTGTGCTTGAGTGAAAATGAGGGAGTGGAAGGTATATGAAGGCTGGAGGGTTGGGGATTGATGTGGAATGCATTGGGGGGGCTGCTGGGGGACAGCAGTGCTTGATGACTGTGGGAGCTGTGCAGAGCATCTCCTATGACCTGAGGATGTGCCATTCGTGCCTTGGTACCACTTGGGGTGAGCTCTCAGCCCCTAGACTCCATCTGCTTCCCTTGACATGGCAGCCCTGGCTCCTGGGCTGGGTATGGATGAGAAGGGCCCGGACACAGGCTGTCCTGGGTGAGAGATGGGGCCATGGCTCCTCTTCCCAAGCTGGAGAGTTTCTGAGGAATGCAGGCAGGACATAGGAGGGGGGCTGTGAACTGGGCTCCCTGTCCAGCTGCCATCTCTGCCCTGTTAACAAATCAAGGGGGCCTCAACTGCCTCTGTGAATCAAAGTGAAGTCACTGCTGGCAACCTGGAGCCTGCAGGAGGTCTGGCCCTGGTGGTGGAGGGTGGGGTGGGGTGATGTGTTTGCTCGGGGGTGACTGGGGCCCAAGCTGTGGCATTATGACTCCCAACCTCTCTCATGCACATGTGCGTTCATGTACACATACATGGACATGGCATCCCTTGGCTGCTCCCCTCCTGACATACTGAACTCTGGGGTGGTCTCGTTCCCCAGAGATGGCTGGGTGGCTGGTTTTGGCAGCCTTCACTTGTGGTGTGTGAGGTTGGGGCCTGGGTGGCAGGTGAGTGGGAGGATGATTCTTAAGAGTCGACTAGGGCTGGGCTTACCAGCTCCACCTCCTGCAGGCTCTGAAGCGGAAGCCAGATTTGTTCTTATGTGAACGACTGGATGTCAAAGCTGTGTTCCAATGTGGTAAGTGGGGTGCCAGGTGGACAGGTGGGCCTGGGGCCCCCTCGGGAGGATCCCTGAGCCCCATCTGATCTGCCTCTGCCTCTCTCACAGCTGTGCTGGCCCTCAAGTTCCCCGAAGCACCTACTGTCAAGGCCTCCTGTGGCTTCTTTGTGAGTCCCGTGCTGACCCCCAAGTCCCCCCCACCATCCTTATACCCAGCCCACCCTTCCCAGGACTCTGTGGGGTAGGGGTGTGGTGTGCAGGCCTTGTCTCCAGGGAGATTGGGAGAGAGTCAGGGCTGACGGGCCTCTCCATCCTCTGTAGACAGAGCTGCTGCCGCGGTGTGGGGAAGTAGAAACTGTGGGAAAGGTGGTACAGGAGGATGGCCGTATGCTGCTCATAGCAGTGCTGGAGGTGAGACGGAGCGGGTGGGGGCGGGGGGTTTGGGGATGGGGTGGCCCTCACTGCTGAGGCAGCTGCCCTCCTGGGAAGCTTGCATCTTGGTTCCCTAAACTCTGTTTCTTCATCAAGTAAACGGCTGCAAGTCGTTAGTTGCTGTGAGGATCAGCTATCATGTGTCAAGTAGCACTCATCATGCGCACTGTGGCTGAGGAACTACCCGGGAGTGGGTGGTGTGGCTAGGCTCTCTTGCTGCAGACGGGGCAAGGCCCTGATGTGCTGAGAACCCATCTCCCTCAGGCCATTGGGGGCCAGGCCTCCCGCAGCCTCATGGACTGCTTTGCCGACATCCTATTTGCTCTGAACAAACACTGCTTCAGCCTCCTGAGCGTGTGGATCAAGGAGGCGCTTCAGGCACCTGGCTTTCCCTCCACCCGCCTCAGCCCCGAACAGAAGGACACCTTCAGCCAACAGATCCTTCGGTGAGCAGAGGGGGCAGGGCCTGGGCTCGGGTTACAGGGAGGCAGAGGCCGTGGTGGATGGTGCTAACTTGTTCTCCCTTCTCTCCTTCAGCGAGCGAGTAAACAAGAGGCGGGTGAAGGAGATGGTGAAAGAATTCACACTGCTGTGCCGGGGGCTACATGGCACAGATTACACAGCTGACTACTGAGGGGCGCCCCCGTCCCGCCCACACCTCCTCCTCACCTCTCCTTGTCCCCAAAGAGTAAACTTGAACCCTCACGGCATGGCTGTCTCTGCTTCCTTTCCACTGCCACCACCACCTAACTGGATGACCTCAGACGACCTGGGGGAAGGAGGGGAGGATGCCTGGGCTCAGGCCTTGGTAGGGTGTGATGGAGTCAACCTTTAGCTTTTAGAGTGAAGGGGGCATTGCTACAGCCAAACTGCCTAGACTGGAGCCATCCAAATACTGCCCTTGCCCTTGGGGTAGGTGGGGACTGCAGTAGTGTCAGCAACCTGCCCCCCAAATTAAATTAGTCCCAGTGTTTATGCATGCATACACTTATTTAACCACCAGTGCTGAATATTAGACCACTAATTGTGCCATGCCTTGTTCTGTCTGAACAAAGGCTGATCTAGTCCATAGCAACCATACTACTCACTAAACTGGGAGAATGGAACCAGTGAGGAAGGCTCCGTGGAGGATGTTTCATTTCTGAGGGCAGTGGGAGGTTTCCTAGGTAGAGGACTTGGGGCCTTGGACTGGAAGTGAGGTGAGGCTGGGCTCATTTGGGAGGGAAGAAATGGAGAGTGGCTTTAAATTCCAAGGTGGGTTTCTTGTGTGGGGTTATGGAGGCACCCAAACTTACACTTGGTTCAGGAAAGGTATAGAAAGCAGGGCTGAGTAGGTGGGAGAGGAGGTATGGTGGCCCCCAGAGGAAGAGGAAGGCAAGCCCTAGTGTTGTCTGCAAAACCATAGCTCCCCACCACTGTGGTACCTGTCATGATGGGCAGGGCTTGGTCAGAACCAAGGACAGCTCCTGGCCTGCTGTTGCTCCAGTCCCATATTCTCTCCCTTTCTGTCTCATCCTGCTGCCTCTCAGGCACCCCAGCCTTCTCAGTAAGATTGGAGCAATCTTGGACTGGGTTTTCCTCACTCCCAGGCTTGAGCCACGAGTGTCCTTGGAGGTGATAGGAGAACTGGTTATTCCCATGTTTGTCTCAGTCTTTCTCCTTTTTTCCCAGTCTCTGGAAGTTCTGTGTCCTACATTCTTCATCCTTATTCAGTCTCTTCCCACACCAACCAGCATCAGACTCCCTTTCATGTCATTCCCTGAAGTTACTCTGTCCTCTTTCCCTTACCCCTCCTCCACCCCATTCACACCTTTTGATTTTTTCATTTCTCCTGGGGTATGTGGAGATGTTTCACCTTTTGTCCTTTTTTTCTATAGCATGACACCCAGGTGTCTTCTTCCTCCCCGTCATGACCAAATGTGATACATATATATATATATATATATATATATATATATATAACCTGGAAGAATGAGGGGTGTAAAGAACAGTTTCCGAAATCAGACCTGGGTTTGATACTGATTGTGTCACTGACTTGCTGTGTCTTATTAGGCCGTTAGTCTCTTTGAACCACAGTTTCATCTGTAATATGGGCCAGCTCTTACTCCAAAGACTAAACTCAGAGCGTGAGTCCCTGGTGAACAAAAAGTGCTCAATGTCTGCCTAATTGACAGACTGCTCTGAGGATAATAGCGTATGATTTCAGTACATGTGCTATGCAGAGGACTGCTTTATGAAGTTTTATATCTAAATTAATTTGCCCCCGCAATTCTATTAAAAGTACTACTGTTACAACCCCATTCCGAGGAAACAAGTGATAAAGACGTTGAATAACTTGAGTAAGTAGTTACGTGGCATAGCCCAATATTCAAACCCAGGCAGTTTGGTACTTAACTTAAAAATTATGCAATGCCACCTCCCAAGGTGATAGAGTGCACGGGAAGTCCTTACCAGTGTAGGCGGATAGGAACTGCTCAAACCGGAGTAGTAATTTTCAGGCAATCGGTGTGTTTGAGGGGGGCATGGGGCTGAACCGGAAAACCAGAGCCAAGGAGACGAGCGCCAGGAGAACTACAACACCCACAAGGCTCCGCTCTTTCTCTGAGGCGCTTCCGATTGACTTCAGGCTCGGAGGCCGACCATTGGTTCTCGGGATGGCTTGGCGGGGGTTGGCGGTGCAGGTAGACGGGTATGATTGCCGTCAGTCCCGCCTCAAACACCCGGACGTAGTCTTCGGGAGGCCCTTGTGTAGTGGTAAAGCAGAGAAACAGGAGTTGCCGTGGGAGAGGGGCTGGCTAAAGGGCTTAGGGCGGACTGACTCCCAGCGCCTCTCCGCCCACCGTCCCCACCAATCGATTCTGACTCTTTGAGGGCTGTTTTTGAGCCCGCGGGGCCTGAAGCTGACTGAGGGAGGTTCCCACTGCCTGCCGCCACCCAGATTGTGCCTCATGGAGTCCACCTTCAGCAGCCCTGCGGAGGCGGCGCTGCAGCGAGAGGCAGGCTCTGCCGGGCTGCGCACTCCGCTTGGAGACCTGGACCGAGTGTACGAGCTGGAGCGAATCGTTGGATTTGTCCGCGACCTGGGGTGTCAGCGGGTGAGGGCATGTTGGGGAGCGGATGGGTCTGCCAGAGGATTGGGATCTTGGGGTAATTTTGTGAGGCTGGGAATGGGGGGGGGGTGGATGATTCGCTGGGTGGAGGGGCTTGGAAGGTTAGGTCGGGACTCCCGGAAAGGTTTCCCTTGAAGACACCCTTGGTGCAGGAGAGGCTGTTCCTGACTCCATGGTACATGTTTACAGGTGGCCTTGCAGTTCCCTGACCAGCTATTGGGAGATGCTGGGGCCGTGGCAGCACGACTGGAGGAGGCTACCGGGTCGAAGATGTTCGTTCTAGGAGACGCAGCCTATGGCAGGTGTGAAATGGAGCTTGCGTATTGAGGGTGAGGGAGGGATCCAGGACTGATGACACTTCTCCTTTATGACAGTGTCTGGCCTCAGTGGCTTTGTTTCTCCTTCATGATGATGATTCCTTTCCTGACACTAGCTCTTCTTAGTGACACTGTCTTTTCATTTTATTTTTAAGTGGAGGATGAGATGGTTAGATGGCATCACCGACTCAATGGACATGGGTTTGGGTAAACTCCGGGAGTTGGTGATGGACAGGGAGGCCTGGTGTGCTGCGGTTCATGGGGTCGCAAAGAGTCGGACACGACTGAGCAACTGAAGTGACTGAATTGCTGAACAATATTGTGTTCGTTTCTGCCACACATCAACATGTATCAGCTGTAGTTTAACATACGTCCCCTTCCTCTTGAACGTCCCACTCAGCTCCCACCCCATCTTTTCATAACATGGTTTTCTTTACTGACCACATTTTCCATTGATGACAGCAATACTTTTCTCAATGAGAACCTCTCTCCTGACGGTATCTCCCCTGCAGCTGCTGTGTGGATGTACTGGGTGCAGAGCAAGCTGGAGCTCAGGCCCTTGTACATTTTGGCCCTGCCTGCTTAAGCCCTCCTGCCCGCCCACTGCCCGTGGCCTTCGTCCTTGGTCAGCGATCTGTGGCCTTGGAGCTCTGCGCTAAGGCCTTTGAGGCCCAGAACCCAGACCCCACAGCGCCTGTGGTGCTGCTCAGTGAGCCAGCCTGTGCCCACGCCCTGGGTGAGGGTTTTGCCTGTGCATGCGGGTAGGGTGGGCTGACCAGTTTGTACCTTAATTTCCCCATTTCAGTGCACTCCTGTGGAGTTCTCCACATGGGCTGGGCCCCAACCTCTCCTTTTGGGTCCCATTCAGTCTCCTGGGGATGAGGGGCATCCCATTTTACCAGGCCCCAACCCTGACACCACCTTCTTCTTCCAGAGGCCTTGGCCACCCTTCTGCGCCCACGGTATCTGGACCTGCTTGTCTCCAGCCCGGCTCTTCCCTTGCCAGCAGGCTCCCTCAATCCAAAGCCTGAGCCCCTGGAGCGTTTTGGGCGCCGCTTCCCTTTGGCTCCAGGGAGGTGTTTGGAAGAGTATGGTGCCTTCTATGTGGGGGGCTCTGAGGCCATCTCTGACGCTGACACTGACCCAGACCTAAGCCGGCTGCTTTTGGGCTGGGCACCAGGGCGGCCCTTCTCCTCCTGCTGCCCAGACACAGGCCGGACTCAGGATGAAGGTGTCCGGGCTGGGCGGCTAAGAGCACGTAGACGCTATCTGGTGGAGAGGGCGAGAGATGCCCGTGTGGTGGGGCTGCTGGCAGGCACGCTGGGTGTGGCTCGACACCGGGAGGCCTTGGCACACTTGCGGAACTTGACACAGGCTGCTGGCAAGCGTAGCTATGTGTTGGCCCTTGGGCGGCCCACGCCTGCCAAGCTTGCCAACTTCCCTGAGGTGGACGTATTTGTGCTGTTGGCCTGTCCTCTGGGTACTCTAGCCCCCCAGCCTTCTGGCAGCTTCTTCAGGCCTGTATTAGCACCATGTGAGCTGGAGGCTGCCTGCAACCCTGCATGGCCACCTCCAGGCCTGGCTCCCCACCTCACACATTATGCGGACTTGTTGCCTGGTGAGTGGTGGGGGCACTGCCTAAGCTAAAAACACTTGGGGCATGAAGTTGGGGGGCCAATATAAATCCTTTTTTCCCCCTCCCTTCCAGGCTCTCCCTTCCACGTGCCCCTCCCTCCACCTGACTCAGAGCTGTGGGACGCCCCAGATGTGTCACTCATTACTGGGGATCTCCGACCCCCACCTGCCTGGAAGCCATCAGATGATCCTGGGTGCTCAGCGCTGACCCTGAGGCCCCCGCTGGAGCTGGCTGAGAGCAGCCCTGCAGGTGAGTGTGGCAGATCTCCACTCCCATCTGAACCCTTCCCCGCTGTTCAGGTCATTCCGCCTCAACCCCCTCCCTCTGCAGCCTCATTCCTTAGTTCCCGGAGCTGGAAAGGACTGCAGCCCTGCCTGGGTCAGACGCCGGTGACGGGAGCTGTAAGCGGAAGACGAGGAATTGCCATCGCCTACGAGGATGAGGGAAATAGCTGATAACATGTGGGACCAGAGGCACCGGTGGACTTAAGACCTTCAGTGCTCCCTGCACCAACCTCACTCTTATGCCAGGATCCTTGAAGGAGCCTCTCACTGAGGCAGCCCCTCAATGAGGACAGGGTCCAGCTCTGTCTTATCTTCTCCTTTCCTGGCACTGGCACAAGGCTTAGCCCATACTGGCTTGGTAAAGGTCTGTTGTTTGACTGACGAGGGAACAGCTTTAGGTCTTCCCTGAAGCCTCTGGGCCATCTGTTCCCCTGGGAGCAACCCAAGACCTCTGGCCAATCCAAGTTCCTGCTGTGCAGTTGAGGGTCTGTCTTTTTCAAAGGCAGGTGCTAGAGTTTTAGACCACGGTTTTTCAGCCTTGGCACTGTTGATGTTTTGGGCCAGATAATTGTTTGTGATGGGCTGTCTTGTGCATTGTAGGATGTTTAGCATCATCTCTGGTTTCTGCCCAATAGGTGCCAGTAGCATACCCCTCTCCAACTATGATAAACAGAAATGTCTCCAGATGTTGGTAAATGTCCCTTAAGGGGGCAAAAGCATCCACAGTTGAGAATCAACTGGTCTACGCTTATGCTACACAATACATGTGGCTGTCAAACATAAATTTGAATTAAGATTAAAAGCTCAGTTTCTCAGTCACACTAATCATATTTCAGTACTCAGATAACCACATAAGAGGACAGCACAGCTAGAAGACATTTCTATCACTGCAGAAAGTCCTGCTGGGCACTGCTGGTCTACACTGACTCCAATTTGTTTCTCAGGGCGGTCACAGAAACTTGAATAAACCAGATAATTTTTCTCCTTGTTTTCTTTTTATTCATCAAATACTGCCAAGTCCTGCACAGGTCCTGTGGGTTGAGATCTGAATTATATTTGATAGGAGTCCTGTCCTCACAGTGTAGCTGGGAAGAGAAGCAGCTAAAAAGGCAATTACCACAGGGTGATGCAGTATTCTTTATGAGGAAGGAAGTCCCCAGGGGCAGCTGGAGCCCAGAAGAAGCTTCTCAGAGAGAGTGTTACCTCAGCTGGATCTCTTGAAGGGGGAAAAAAAAAAAGAAGTAATGGAGTGAAAAGGCATTTGGACAAGGTACACCAAGCTCAAACACACAGGCATAGACCATCACTATGGGTACTTTAAGCAAAGTGGAGTTGCTAGATCCTAAAGGTTTAGAGGGGTGAAGTGAAAATGACTCACCTTAGTTCCCTGCATTTGCTGAAAAATCTCGACATATTGGCACTGTCCCCCTGGTGGCTCAGATGGTACAGAATCTGCCTTCAATTCAGGAAACCAGGATTCGATCCCTGGATCGGAAAGTTACCCTGGAGAAGGGAATGGCTACTCATACCGTATTCTTGCCTGGAGAATTCCATGGACAGGGAAGCCTGGCGGGCTACAGTCTAGGGTTCGCAAAGAATCAGACACAACTGACTAACACTGTTAGGGTGTTGTGATTTCTGCCTTTAAGGATTGCACAGTCTACTGGTAGAGGCAGTTCTGTAAACTGATCGTGGTAACTGGGAAAAGGTGAGCACCAGTTGTGTATTCTACAAATATGGACTGAACACGGGGTGTGCCAAGCAGTGGAAATCAGCAGTGAGTTTAGGAATCCTTTCATGGTTGCTTACATTTTTGTGGTGGAGAAGACAGACAATCAGAACAGTATGCAGAATGGTGATGAGGGCTATGGAGAAATATAAAGCTGGGAAGGAGTGTAAGAGAAGGGGCTACAGTATTAAACAGGATGATCAGAGAAGACTTTTTGAAGGTGAACAAAGACTGAAAGAAGTTTTGAGTGAACCATGTGACTAATTAGAAGAAGCAGAGGGAACAAGTGCAATGTATTGAGGGTATGATGGTGTTCAAGAAATAGCCAGGAGGCCAGTGCAGCCATTGGAAAAGACCCTGATGCTGGGGAAGGTTGAGGGCAGGAGGAGAAGGGGACGACAGAGGATGAGCTGGTTGGACGGCATCATTGACTCAGTGGATAGGAGTTTGAGCAAATTCTGGGAGATAGTGAAGGACAAGGAAGCCTGGTGTGCTGTAGTCCATGGGGTCGCAAAGAGTCACGACTTAGTGACTGAACAACAACAGGGCAGCCAGAGGAGGGAGTTAGTAAGAAACTATTGGCAACGAAATCGGGGTTAAGAGACCTCGTAGACCATTATAAGGACCATGGTTTTTATTGCGAGGGAAAGGGGGGCCACCGAGGTATTTGAGTGACATGATCTTACCAAAGTTATAGAAGCATCGCTAGGGTGGCGGGAGACCCTAGAGCGGGCGCATTCCCCTGCCTCTGGCTAGGGAAAGCTTCCTGTTAGAACGTATCTTAAGATCATTAGGTGTTGGCCGACCTTGGGGTGAGCACGAAGAAACGTGCTTCAGGCAGAGGAAACAGCATGAGCTCAGTGAGGGACGGAGCAGACACCCTCGCGAGCTGGGTGGGACGTTCAGGGAGGAGGCCCGCGAGATCAGCATTGGCTTGGAGACTAAGCTAGGGCGGCGGTGAGCAGGCTCGGGTGGAAAGCAGAGCTGGTGGGCCGGAGCTGGGCGGAGTGTTCGGGCGTACAAGAGGGAGCGGCCCGACCCTAGGTGGACCGGCCAGGCAACGATCGAGGTATTCGGCAAGAAAGGTTTCAGGCCGCGAGACTACAATCACCACAATCCTCTGCGCCTGCAATTCCGGCGTCGCCAAATTCCTAGACCGCCGGCGACTGAGCGCCGGGCCCGACGTGAGGTCACGTGACGCCTGCGGGTCACGTGGGCCAGTCAGGTGACACCGCGGGGCGGGTCGACGGGCTGCGGGGCGGACGGCGGACGCAGGGACGCGGTTTGAGCTCAGGCCCCCCCGACCCGCGTCCCGCCGTCTTTGCCGCCATGACGGGTCTAGTGCTGCTGTACTCCGGGGTCTTCGTGGCCTTCTGGGCCTGCCTGCTCGTCGTGGGTGAGGCCGGGCCCTGGAGGGCGGGGACGGCTTCGGGCCGAGCTGACCAGGCTGGAGCCCAGCGGGGAGGTGGAGTGTTAGGAATATTAGGTCCTGACGCGGGCTCTAATACCTCAGGCTCCTGGACTTGACTCGCGTCTGTCTGGGCCCGTAACCCGGACAGAGGAGGCTGGTATCTGCAGCTGCTTGTGGAGGGCGCGGGCGGGGCTCGGTGGGGACCTCGAGCGATCGCAGCCCTGGTCCCCTTCTGTCACTGGGCTCCCTTCCCCGGCTTCCCGCGCCCTCCCTGCCTTGCTCCTTACGGGCCTGTCTGGGTCGCGAGCCAGCTGCTCCAGTTCCTCTTTTCCCGGTCGTTTTGCCCTCCCCCCACACCCACACCGTGTTGAGTAAACAGCGGGTCAGACTGGGCTGGCTGCATCTGGTGAGCCCGAGCTATTGCTCCCTCCCCTCCTCCAGGGTATTCAGACCTCCTGGTGGCTCCCCGTGACGGGTCTCCGTCTGGGAGATGGTGTCACAGAGGGAGGGAGGTTCTTGAGGGAATGACAGAAAATGGAGGCCTGAGCAGAGGAATCTGTATAGGCAGCTGTGCTTTCATTTTGGGGAGAGCCAAAGGACTCTCTTGACTTAGGTGTATGCAGACCTTTGGGAAGCTGGCCCATCTGCTGGGCAGCAACTTCTCGTCTAAGTTGTGGAGCTTCTGTCTAGAGAGTAGGCCACTAACCCCGTTTTTCTCATTGCTGTAGGAATCTGCTACACCATTTTTGACTTGGGCTTCCGCTTCGATGTGGCGTGGTAAGGGAGAGGTTTCCCCTAGGAGCTTCTTTGACGCCTCCCCTCTCTGATCTGAATTCCTTCCCTCCCCCCAGCTGTATGGGATTGTGGCCCTTTGGGAAACATGAAGTGTTCTGTTTCAGCATCCAGGACTGGAGGGGTCGGAGCAGGGTCGGGCTGGATTTTGTGCCCGCTTCTCCATAAGGACTGACTTGTCTTTCCCCCTGTCTGCACACCAGGTTCCTGACAGAGACTTCCCCCTTCATGTGGTCAAACCTGGGCATTGGCCTAGCTATCTCCTTGTCTGTGGTTGGGGCGGCATGGTGAGTGTTGGGGTCATGGGACAGGAGAGGGGCTGAATCATAGCAGGGGGTGTCATTGGGTTCTTAGTCATCATGGGGGCAATGGCAAGTTTGGGCTCTGCTTATTGGTTTATTATTTGTCCATCAGGGGCATTTATATCACTGGCTCTTCCATCATTGGAGGAGGGGTGAAGGCCCCCAGGATCAAGACCAAGAACTTGGTCAGGTAAGTGTAGGAGCCTAGTAAGGTTGTCAGAACCAAGTGGGAGATGCCTGTGTATTTGACCTACCTTACATGCTGCTCCTGACCGGCCTCCTGGGTCAGTAGGAGTGGGGGTGTCAGTAGGGGGAGAGGTGGTTGGAGACTCTCCAGGGAGGAAGGTTGGCTTCTTTCTCATCTCTTTCTCCTCTTTGCCCTCTAATCCCCCATTACCACTACCAGCATCATCTTCTGTGAGGCTGTGGCCATCTATGGCATCATCATGGCAATTGTCATTAGCAACATGGCTGAGGTATGGAAGACTAGGTGGGGTGGGTGTCAATTCCAGTGTGTTTTATATTGCTTAGTGATGGTGGGGGAGGGGGAGTGGAGTAGGGAGTGGTTTCTGATTATTGCTCTGCCTCCCTCAGCCTTTCAGTGCTACTGACCCCAAGGCTATTGGCCATCGGAACTACCATGCAGGTAGGTGGGTGTGTGAAGGCAGAAAACCGGGGCTTCACAGATGATTCCCCTCCAGCGCACACCCCAGCTTAGACTCTTCATTTTGATATTCTTTGGCCTGCTTTACAGAATTGGGGTGGTGGCTGGTCCCATTAGTCCTTGTTGGACCCTTGCCTTCATTTCCCCCCATATCTGGTTTGATATCAGTGCTCCCTTTCCATCCCTCCAGGTTACTCCATGTTTGGGGCTGGCCTTACAGTGGGCCTGTCTAACCTCTTCTGTGGAGTCTGCGTGGGCATCGTGGGCAGTGGAGCCGCCTTGGCTGATGCACAGAACCCCAGCCTCTTTGTAAAGATTCTCATCGTGGAGATCTTTGGCAGTGCCATCGGCCTTTTTGGGGTCATCGTTGCAATCCTTCAGGTGCCGAATCCCCCTGGGGAGCATCTGTCCTTGTCCCCAACCCAATCTCACCCTTCTTCTGGAGGAGCCACAGTGCTCCCTTCTACATCTGTAACCGTAAAACCTCTAACAGCTTTCACTGCCTCATCCCCATCTTCTGGTTTTCCCCTTTTGAAGCTTTCCATTTATTTCTGTCTTCAACATGGTATCACTGATAACATCTTTTTTGGTCTTTTGGTCTGTTACATTGTTTCTATATATGAAAGATTGGTCTCTCTTTTCCTCTTCTGTTATTTTTTCTGTCTTTGTAGTCTAGACCAGGTTGGGATCTTGTCTGTTGTGGTCTGTCTTGATGAGTTTGACTGTATTGTCAGTTGGGCAGCATGTCTGAGATGTGTGTATCTTGTTTGTCTAACCGTGTATGAGTGTGGCTAAGGATCAGCCTGAGGATCTTGAGTGTGACTGTGGGTGCCTGACCGAGTTGACTCTTAAGAGACTGGCATGTCCATATGCCACTTCTCTCCATCGAACCTTGTAGTTGTCTGTGGTCCCCATTCACTGTGTTTGTCACAGCATGTCCATCGTGGCCCAGTCATCCGCTTCTTGTGGTCTGGCTATCCTGCCATGGGTCTCATCTTCTGTCATATGTCATTGTCTAATCAATTTTTTTGTCCCTGCCTGATTTCTCCTTTTCTTCTTTTGCAGACCTCCAGAGTGAAGATGGGTGATTAGATGGTCTATGTGGGTGGGGCCGTGCCCCACTCGTATTTATTTGTGGTTTTCCCCGGGACAGCTGGAGCTGTGCCCCTTAGGCTTTCAGGGGGTTTGGTGTTTAGGGCCCTCCCTACACTCACTTCGCGCTGCCTGTCGACTTGGAGGCTCTCTGCCTGGCTGGATCATCTGTGTGGGGAGCGGGCTGTAGATGACTGTGCAGCTTTGCACCTGTGTCCCACCTCCACCTCCAACCCGTCTTCCCAGTGTTTGTGAAATAAACGTGGTATCAGTCTGGGTCAGTGCTGCTGCTTTTGTGTTCCTTCGCCGCCACCTTTCACAGAAGAAGGTTAAAGAGAACTGTAGGCCTCAACTTCATGCCAGCCTCTCTAGCTTTCCAGTTCATATACACTGTCTCTGCTCTGGACAACACTGGCTCCTGGGTGGGAAGGGAATGGTGCTGGGCTGAGGCTTCTGTAGCTCTAACCCTCTTTATTGAAGGAGCAAGTCTGGGGGATGTGGGCCCCTTGCTTGATTGTGGGAGGAGGTGACCAACCCTATGCCCTCCGGGCTTAGGTCAGCTTAGCCCCAGCTGTTTGTGTTTATTACTTGTTTCTCCCTTCGGGCATCCACCATCTCTACCTCTGGGGCCTTGGAACTCTTTATCTGTGTTCATCCCTGCAACATCCCATGCCAGTAATTAGTTTGATCCCGAGTTCCCAGGGCTGTGCCCAGCTCCTCCCACGCCTGTCCAACCTCTTACCCAACCTCCTGTTCCCCTAGAAGCCCCTGCCACACACACTTTGGCTCACACCTTTAAGCGTCCTGCCCAACTCACAGCCCTCTCCGCTGGCAGACCTTTTGATTCTGCTCCCATCGATGAGCCGACAAATTCCTGACCTCCCTGCCGAACTTCCAGATGCCCTTCTTTGGCTGAGTTGGCGCTCCAACCCAGACCAGACCCCATTCTTCCAAAAGGGGTTTGACCCATCCACACCTTCCCCGGTTCGGAGCCCTTGGATGAGTCTGATTAATTTCGCCCGCCCCTCCCTGGTCCTTGGTACCCGCGGCCGCGCTCGGCGGCCAGCAGGGGCGGGCGTCGGAGGCGAGCGGCGGGGACGGGCGCGCTGGAGGCGGGGGCCGCGGGGACGCGCGTGCGGGCGCGCCGGCCGGGCCTGCCCCTCCGAGGCGCCGTAGCGCGGGAGGGAGGCGGCGGCGCTGTGGTCCGTCGGTCGGCGGGTCCGTGGGTCTGCCCGGCCGCCCGGCCCCGCCCTGCCCCCCGGGGCGGCTCGGCTCCATGGCCCGCGGCGGCGGCGGCGGCGGCGGGAGGCGGCCTGGGGGCCGTGGGGGCCGCTGACCGGGAGGAGGAAGGCGGCGGGGCCGGGCCATGGGGAACGGAGCCGACCGCAGCCGCCGGAGCCCGGAATCCAACCGGAGCCGGAGCGGCGCCCCCTGCTGAGCCCCGAGCGCTGGGTGAGAGGGGGGAGCTCGCGGCCCCCAGCCCGGGGCCCCGAGATTCTAGACCCGGCCCCGCGAGGGGCGCCCCGAGCGCGGCCCCGAGATCCCCGCCCAGGACCCGGTGAGAGGCGCTGGCGGCCAGACCCCGGCCTGGCATCACCCCACCCTACCCCCATCCCTCGGCTCCCCGCGTCCCCCTCGGGCTCCTTTGCCCGTCCCCAGCCAGCCTCCCTTATTGTCCTCGCTCACCCCGGCCTCGTGCCGTGGGGAGGCGCTCCACTTTCGTCGCCCCTTTGCCTCGGCCCCCAACCCACATCCTCTCCCCCAAGACCCCCCCACCCCCAACCAGGCTCCACACCCACCCGGTCTTCGCTGCTTCCCTGTCCAGGGGTGCCACGTGTTCAGGCCACTCAGCCTTCCAGCCCCGCCCAAACTCACCTCGTAGCCTGACCGGCAGCCTGACCCAAAACCCGTGACCCGGAGGGAGTGGTGGGAGTGTTTGCACGTGGGTCGGGGTGTTGTGAGCTGCCAGGGAGCCCGTCTGTGTGACTGTGTAAATCCAGGAGCGCGGCTTTGTTTGTGAGTGGGTGACTCGGTGCATTATGTTACTGTCACCCAGGCGTGTCTGTGACTCTTTATGTAGTTGTCTGTGTATCTAAGTGCAGCTACAGTGTATCTGACTGTAGCTGGGACCCAGGGTGTTTATGTGGTTGTGTGATAGATACTGTGTATCTGAGGGAGACTCAGCCTGCTCTCTGAAGCACTGCCAGAAGTGCCCCCAGAAGTGTTACTGCTGTGGGACCCCCAGTTAGAGCCATGGCCCAGGCAAAACCCTCTCCTGATGTGCTCTCTCCAAGGGCCCAAGCATTTCCCTTTCTGGGAATCAGAACCAGTCCTTGAGGTCTTATGGGAGGGGTGTCCTGGGCCCCATCCTGTCTTTTTACCTCTTGCTCCAGAGGGAAGTGATCCCATAAACTTATCTTGTTCAAATTTGGGCCACCTGCATGCTGAGGGCCACTTCCCAGCCTGCTCCCAGATGGCCTGGCCTACTCGCCACTGGGACCTGACCAAAGAAATCACTGCCCACCCCCATGTTCCAGGAGGACTAAATGAAGTCTTGAGTACAAAGTGCACTGGCATGGTAAATACTCAGTAAATGCTCTCCTTTCCTCAGACCAGGACTTCTGGGTTGAGGATGCTGGGCTGTGGGCATTTGTTCTCTGGGGCACAGAGAACCTGTGTGGGTCTATACATAAGTGTGTTTCTGTGTTCAGATGTGAACTGGTGTGATCAGAGGTCACGGCCCATGATCCATGGGGGGGGGGGGGTGAAGTTGAGTAAGAAGGGCACTTACCCAAGTGTGAGGGTAGATGAGGCTCTCCATGTATATATGTGTCAGTGAGGATGAGGAAGGAAAGCACGTGTGGGTTAGTACTCTAGTGTATGAAGATCCATGAGTAGTGAGTTGTCAGGGACCCTGTGTGTGTGTTTTTACAAGTAGAATTTGTCAAAGGGTGTGAGCAGGTAAGTGTGAGGATGCACGTCTAGGAATGGGAGCAGTGCACAGGAGGTGGGTGGGTGGCCCTGCCCCTCTGGCCCTGACCTGCTGGGTATGTCTCTCTCCCACCCCTGCTCAGGCCGGCAGCCGGATGCCCGGGCCCATTGGGCGGGCCGGCGGCCGCCTGCGGGATGAGCAGACTGCTGGGGGGGACGCTGGAGCGCGTCTGCAAGGCCGTGCTCCTTCTCTGCCTGCTGCACTTTCTCGTGGCCGTCATCCTCTACTTTGACGTCTACGCCCAGCACTTGGCCTTCTTCAGCCGCTTCAGTGCACGCGGCCCCTCCCGTGCCCTCCACCCAGCCGCCAGCAGCAGCACCAACTGCTCTCGGCCAAACGCCACTGCCCCCAGCTCCGGGCTCCCCGAGGCTCCCAGCGCCGGGCCCGGCCCCACGGCTCCTGTCCTGCCACCCTGTCCTGACTCGCCGCCCGGCCTTGGTGAGCCTGCAGGGTGGGGCTTGCCTCTAGGGGTGGGCCGAGGTCTGGGGGAGTGGAGTCTTGGCCCCCGGGGCCGCCACAGGTGTTGTGTGTTGGCAGAGGGCTATTCCTGGGATTCCCTGGCCCACCCCAGGTAGAGGGAGGGGCCTGGCGTCCTTGGCTTCTGATGAAGACCTAATTCCCGCCCCTGTCCTGCCTGCAGTGGGCCGACTGCTGATTGAGTTCACCTCACCCATGCCCCTGGAGCGGGTGCAGAGGGAGAACCCAGGTGTCCTCCTCGGTGGCCGCTACACGCCGCCTGACTGCACCCCAGCCCAGACGGTGGCAGTCATCATCCCCTTTCGACACCGGGAACACCACCTGCGCTACTGGCTCCACTATCTGCATCCCATCCTCAGGCGACAGCGACTACGCTATGGCATCTACGTCATCAACCAGGTGTGCAGCCGCAGCCTCCAGGCTGGTCACCGGCCACCAGGGGACCCACGTGCCTGTTGGTGCATCTGTGGGGTTGGGGGCATTCATGGATGCCTGAATAGTTGTGTGGACACGTGATGTACACGTGGGGGTCCGTGTATGTCATCGCGTGCATATGTGGGTTTGCATGTGCCTTCAGGTGGATTGCATACATACATGTTAATGGTGGTGGACACACTGCCAGGTGTGCGTAGTCTCTGTTGTGGATGAGTGCCATTGTTTACCTTTGGTAGGCCCCACCCCATGGTGCTGCTGGCTTAGGGTACACAGGCTATGAGATAGTGAGGGCCCTGAGCAGAGAGAGTTAGACCTGAAAGAGGGATCAAGACTGCCTTAGGGCCAAGTGCTGAGCACAGCTGAGATCCAGGAATTCAGCTCAGGCTCCAGGCCCTCCCCTGTGGGTCTGGCTGGGCTGGCTGCTGGGGCCTGGAGAAGGCCTGATACAGACCCTCCTCCCCACAGAGAATTCCAAGACTTGAACTTGGATCCCTTTAGACTCCAGGATGGTGGCGTGTGCTTGGAGTAGGACCAGGGAGCTGTGGAGCCACCAGGCGACCTGGTTTAACCCCAGGGTGGGGAAGCGACCATTGAGATGGGTCTTGAGGGATGAATGGGCATCAGCCGGTGGAGGGACTGGGGAAGGCAAGCATTCTAGGCAGAGGGACAGAGGAGGCCTCAGGCCCCAGTGAGAGAACTGGTCTCATGTGTTCAGGAAGTGTCAGCTGAGGAGTGGGGTCCCACATGCAGGATGGGTAGCAGAGATGAGGTTGGAAGGGCTAGTGGAGGCCACATCCACAAGGGTCCTAGGAGTCATCTCAAGCAGTTGGATTCCAGCGTGAAAGTGATGGGGCGCTGTTGTGTGTTTTTTGGCCATGCTGGTCTTCATGGGGGCAGCACAGGCTCTCTAGTTATGGTGTGGGCTCTAGAGTGTGTGGCCTCAGTAGCTGCAGTTCAAAGGCTTAGTCGGGATCCCCACGGCATGTGGGATCTTAGTTCCCAACCAGGGATCGAACCCATGTCCCCTACACTGGAAGGCAGATTCTTAACCACTGGACCACCACCAGGGAGTTCCCATAGTGGGGTTTTAGGGAGAGGGTAATATGTATGTGTGCTTATTAGAAAGATTGCTCTGATGGCATGTGGACAATGGGATGGAAGGGGAGCCAGGAGGTAGGGCACCTGGTTGGGAAGAGGCTGCTATGTTCAGGATAGAGGTGGTGAATGCGCCTGCGAGTTGGGCAGGAGTCGTGTGGATGAGAGGAGAGACAGGATACAAGTAGCTGAGAGTAAAGGGAGGTGCCAGGACACCTTGAGGCTCTCTGTCTTGACTTCTGGCCCTGTGTATGGTTGCGCTTGTGAGATGGGAACACAGGATCTGGGCCGGGTCTGGGGGAGAATGTGTCTTTTTTGCACTTGATGAGTTTAAGTGCCTGGGGGAAGCATAAGAGGAATGTTCAGGCATTTGGACAAATGAACTGGCCTAGGAGTGAAGTCTGAGGTGGCAAGGGATCTGGGAGCCACCAGTATATAGGTGGTCCCTAAAACCAGCCATGTCCAGCCTGCCTGGGGTGGGGCCTGGGAACTGAGAGGAGAAAGCCAGTATGTAAGGAATGGGTGGATAAAGAGAGACCACAGAGGCTGCGAGGGTTGGCCAGAAAGGTTCAAGGAGACCCAAGAGAACTCGGTGTCCCAGCACCCAGGAATAAGCGTCAAGAAGGCAGCGTGGCAGCTGCGTGAGCGCTGCTGGGGGAGTAAGGAAGGATGTAGACCGAGAAGCGTCCAGTGGATTTAGCAACAAGGTGGGCCCAGCAAGAGCCATTTCAGGGGCATGGTGGGGGCGGAAGCAGATTGCAGTGGGTTGCAGAAGGAATCAGATCTGACAAAATGCAAGTAGCCAATTGGAGACAACTCTTTATTAAAAAAAAAAAAAAACTCTGCTGAGAAGGGAAGACAAAAGATATGGTGGGGGTCTAAAGGAAGGGCTTTCTTTGGATGGGAGAGAAATGGGCACGTTTATGAGCCCTGTGGGAGAAACCTAGGACTCCGGGGTGGTGAGAGAGGTTAGGAAGGAGTGCACATGGAGGAAATAGACCATTGCTCCAAGGGCTAGTGGGAGAGAAGGTTCAGGGCAAGGAGGAGAGAGAGCAGGTGGGGCCAGGCTGTTCAGGGTCCAGGGGAGCAGCTCCTGCCCTCTTGGGCCCCAGTTGGCTGGTAGGGAGGAGGGGCTGCTCCTCCTCTCCTTCCAGGAGAGCCCACTTGAAGACCAGGAGGCTTTCTGGCTCCAGCCTGGAGATCATGGGTTGGAGCAGGGGCTTCAGGAGCCAGCCATTTCCTTCCATGAAACCCTCTTTCCTCTGGCCAGAATTCAGAGTGTGGGCGTGCATGGCCAGGAGACCAACCTCAAGGAGACCTGATCCCACAGCCCCATTTCTTGGGGGACTCCAGGCTCATTATGCTTATCATTTTGTCGGGGAGACAAGTGAATTGAGCTTGGTCCCGGAGGCCGCCCAGGGAGTTGGATGTAGATCTGCAAGAGCCAGAGGGGACAGGTGACTCAGTCCGCATGGTCTCTGCATCTGAGATGCTGGCCATTTGGGGACATTCTTTGTTCATTTCACTCCATGACATGCTCAGTAGGGAAGCAGTGTGCTCAGGGCCACTCATCTTTAAGATCCTCACTGGCACAGAGAAGATGCCTGGCACCAAGGACAGGGCCGAGGGGCATGATTGAAGGAATGAATGAAACGAGAGCCCTAAATTGTAACCGTTTGAATGGACCTGGCATAAGTGAAGCACAGGGGAGGGAGTGAGTAATTATACTGGGGCGGGGAGGTTTGCTAACAGAGTCCTTTCCAGACATGAATTTGATAAGTGGAGAAGGAGAGCATTCCAGACAGGGGCAACTGCTCAGACTGAGGCCTGGAGGCAGGAAAGAGTCTGGCATGCTCTGGGGTTGTGGAGAAATATCCTATAGCTGGGCTTGGGCGGGGGGGGAGGTTCTGAGGTCATTGGCCAGAGAGGAGATGGAGCCAAATTCTAAAAGGTTTTGCAAAGCTAGGTCTAGGATAAAGAGCTGGATTTGATCCCGAGAGTGCAGAGGCCCCAGTGGAGGATGAGTTGACAGGTAGTGCTAGGTCTGCAGGGACCACTCTGGACAGTGGTAAAGTGGCAGATGCTTCCAAGTCTCAGGCCCAGGGCCGACCTGTCTCCTCTACCAACCCCAGCACGGTGAGGACACCTTCAACCGGGCCAAGCTGCTCAACGTGGGTTTCCTAGAGGCGCTCAAGGAGGACTCCACCTACAACTGCTTCATCTTCAGTGACGTGGACCTGGTCCCCATGGATGACCGCAACCTGTACCGCTGTGGTGACCAGCCCCGCCACTTTGCCATTGCCATGGACAAATTTGGCTTCCGGTGAGGGCTCCCTTCTCTGATGGACCCAGGCCTCCCCAGTCCTGCCCCGGCCATCACTCCCAGCCCCCTTCCCCCCCTTGTTGCCAGACCTCTATCTGGAATCCCCTCAGGCCCCTCATTGACGCATATCTTCCGTGCCCCAGGCTGCCCTATGCCGGCTACTTCGGAGGTGTGTCGGGCCTGAATAAATCCCAGTTCCTGAGAATCAATGGCTTCCCCAACGAGTACTGGGGCTGGGGTGGTGAGGATGACGACATCTTCAACCGGTGAGTGGGCAGGGGGTGGGGAATCGATGGGGTGTGGATGGTGGGCGCAGACCAGGCGGGGCTCTTCGCCCATTCTGGTGCCCACTCCAGCCCGGCTGTCCCTGACCCCAGGATCTCCCTGGCTGGGATGAAGATCTCGCGTCCCGACATCCGCATAGGCCGCTACCGAATGATCAAGCACGACCGGGACAAGCATAACGAGCCCAACCCTCAAAGGTGACCCCCCCAGCGCCCTCAACCCCAGCCGTCCTGGCCCCTTACCCCATAGAGGTGATGTCCCAGTGCTGCTGATCCCCAGAGGTGATCCCATGGCCCCTGACCCTTGACTCCTGAGATGACTCCCGGCACCCCCACCCCTGGTCCTTAGTCCCCAGCTCAACTCTCACCCCTGGCCTGATTCCGCAAGTGATTGAAATTTAAAGGTGGGGCTCAAATTGTCACTGAGTAACTTGCATTCCTCTTGGGCCCTCACAGACCTCACTCCAGCCTGAACAGATAGGACAAGAGACAGCAGGCCCAGGGCACAGCTCCAGGGCCTAGGGACCCAACAGAGATTGCCCCGAGCAGTGTAGGGTGGCGGGAGTGGAAAGACACTGCTGAGCCCTCAGATTGAATAGGTGGCTGGTCTCTGAGGAGGAAGCCACATTGGTGTTTTAATGGTGACTGGGAGAAGTGCCTGTGGGCATGTGAGATGGGTGGTAGAGGGTAGGAGGCGTGTTGGGGATCCAGAGCACTCAGACCTAATCCCCGCTGGGCAGCTTGTGTGAAGTTCAGTCTAGGGAGAGAGACCAACAGATACAGCACAAGGCGATCAGGGCAAGGTGCTGTCCTGGCAGAAGAGGGAGTGATGGTAGGAAGCTTCCTGGAGGTGGTTGTTCAGTGGCCAAGTTGTGTCCGACTCTTCGTGACCCCATAGACTGCAGCATGCCAGGCTTCCCTGTCCTTCACCGTCTCCTGGAGTTTGCCCAAGTTCATGTCCATTGAGTCGATGATGCCATCCAACCATCTCATCTTCTGTCGCCCTCTTCTCCTCCTGCCCTCAATCTTTCCCAGCATCAGGGTCTTTTCCAGTGAGTCAGCTGTTCACATCAGGTGGCCAAAGTACTGGAGCGTGGAGTATTCCTGGAGGAGGTGATGGTAAACTAGAGTTTGAAAAGAGTTATTCATTCTACAAATATTTGTCACACACCTACCTTGGGTACAGTACTGTATTCACCAGGCTGATGGAGGAGGCTAGTCTGGATAAAAGGAATCAGATGTGTAGGAGTCTGGAATGTGTACATCCATTGTATACGCTGAGAGCTTGAAACTCTTCATTATTGCATTCTGAAGGCTGGGAGTGACAGGAGGGGGGTCACTGCTGATCCCATGTTGGGAGTTTGAGTTTTGTCCCAGGGGTGCTGGAGAGTCATGGAAGAACTTTCATGTGGGGAAGGGACGGGACCACATTTGAGTTTGGAAGGATCACTCTTTGAGTTTGAAGAAGCTGGCAGAGCTGCTGAGTGGAGCAGGAGGAAAGTAAACCAGGCTCAAAGGAATCAGTGGAGACCAGGGGGTTTGCCGCATGTGAAACTGGCATGCACCCACCAGACCAGTAGGATGTTCTGCTCTGAAGCCAGGGTGTCAGAGCAGGGAGGGAGGTGGCCGTACTGATGTAGGGTTGATATTTGGCAGAAGCATGAAGTACTGAGCATCCAGGGAGCTGATAAAAAAGCAGTTAAGTTAAAAACTATGGTGAGTAGGGAAGGGACGACAGGCTGGGAGAAGAGGGGCTTTGGGGTGTCTGAGGGGGAGTACTCAGTGTTGGACTGGCTCCAGAGAGGGATCTGAACTGAGCCAAGAAGGATGGAGAGGATCAAAACAGTTAGGATGAGGGTGGCAGTGGGGCTCTAGAAGCACAGGCCAGGGGACCATGTCTAGGTGCCATCCTTGGTTAGTGATATCTGCATGGCCAAGATAGCAAGATGTTTCTGACTTAAGGAACTCTGTGGATGCTGGTTTCATCTAGCTGGTTGCTTTTGCCTCAGATCTAGGAGTTCTCCTGGATTCTTCTTGCTCTCGCCCTACATATCTGGACCATCAGCAGGTCTTATCAGTGCCAGCCCTGAAAGGTGTCTGAGCCGGTCCACTTTCCCCTGTACCTCTGCGCTAGTGCATCCTCTTTGTAGTTCATGTTCCCTGGCCCTCCCTTTCCCAGACTAGGCTAAAAATCCCTGTGTTTATTCACTCCCAGAATAAAAAGCTGTTTCCTCTGACTTACAGAGGCCTGCCCATACCTGTTATAACCTCCCAGCTAATCTTATTCTGGGTTTTCTCCTTGGCCCATTAAGCTCTAGCCACTCTGCTGTGCAGATTCTTATTTTCAGTTTAGGGTCAGCCTATGCTTTTACCTCTGCCTGGAAAGCTCTTCCTCTGCTGTCAGCTTAATGGCGCACACCCACCCCTTCCACGGCAGTCACCCTGTCTGCTGTCTCCCTCAGTACTCTTGGTGTCTTCCTTGTCTATTACTTGTCTGCCCTAGTGGTATAGACTTGCGATGAGAGGAAGGACTTTGCAGTTCTGTTCATGGCTGTGACCTTGGTGCTTAGACAGGGCCTGGCACACGGGGACTGTTCAATAAATAGATGATGAAGGTGTGATTAAAGGATAAGGAACAGAGAAGGTGGCACAGAGATGGTGGGTGTGGGGAGTAAAGATGATGCATACAATATAGGACACGTTGTATTTGAGGTATCTGTGGGGTACCCTATGTCTAGGTCTGTGATGAGAGAAAAATTGGTTAGCGTGTCATGATTCTGGACTGAAGGGGGTGAGATCTCTGTTTTGAGGGTTGTTGCAAGAGCCAAAGGCAGGTGGAGGGGGTAGCAAGGAGAACTGAGTCACCCCAGGAAGAAGCCAGGAGGGCGTGGGCCTTGGCCCCAGTGATCCCTACTGGATTCGGTGGTGAGCCCTGATCTAGACCCACTTCTATCCTGTCTAGGTTTACCAAGATTCAAAACACGAAGCTGACCATGAAGCGGGACGGCATCGGGTCAGTGCGGTACCAGGTCTTAGAGGTGTCTCGGCAGCCACTCTTCACCAATATCACAGTGGACATTGGGCGGCCCCCTTCTTGGCCTCCTCGGGGATGACACCAGTGGACAAAGGCTTCCATTGCCAAGGATTGCCTGTCAGAGGACTGACCTACAGCCTGGCTGGCAGTTGCTCTGTGGTGGATCCCCCAGGACTGAGACTGTGGGCTCTGTTTTCTGAGGGTCTTCAGTAGGCACCCCCAGCTGCACTTGGAAGTTTCAGAACCTACTTTGGGGGAGCTTCCATCCTGGGCAGGCCCCTCAAGGGTGGCCGTCTCTGGGGTCAACCCCTCCTGCTCCTCCCTCCCCAGTTCAGCCCCCCTCACTGTCAGGGTTGGGTCAACCCCTGCACTGCCTCGCCGAGTGGCCTGGGCCAGGTCACTCCACCTCTCTGTGCCTCAGTTTCCCCCCCTTGAGTCCCCTAGGGCCTAGAAGAGTGGGAGGTATGACTAGGGGGCAATGTTGCTTCCAGGGGGAATTCTCAGACCTGAGGATCCCCCACACTCCCAGGGGAGGGGAAACCTTTTTCACTCAACATTGTAGGGGGCAAACTCTGGGGCACCCCCTGCTGAGGAGCAGCCCCAGGAGGGGACCAGAGGGGGTGCTGTGTCGCTGCCTGGGATCTTGGAGTTGGGCTTTGCATGGGGGTGGATGGGGCTTGGATCAGTTGGGTTCCAGCCCCACCCCGCCTCTTAGAGAGAAGGCAGTAGCCCCAGGACCGGCTTGTGTTTGTACATTGCACAGAAACTTGTGTGGGTGCTTTAGTAAAAAACGTGAATGGAGAAGCCCTTTGTCTGTTTGGGGATGGGGATCTGGATCCCTAATCCCCGATCCTGGTGTGTTGTGGGAAGGGTGCCTGGCCCAATCTATCTGGTCCGGACTGTCCTGGTTCCCCAGGTCCCTAGAAGTGCAGCGGTTCACTAGACTTACCCGGGCTGGAAGGAGAAATTTTACCCTGCCGCTGCCTCCTGGCCAGAAAAGGCAAGGAAGTAATAAACCCACCGGGCTCAGATTTCTTGGTTCTTTCACTTGACCTGGAGTCTAAAGGTGCCCAGGGATGAAAGCTGCTTGGAGTCAGGTTGATGTGCATGGTTGAGACTGCGAACCTACCTACCACGGCTGTGGGTTGGGCTTTGTTAGCCGGCACCGCCCTGGAATGGGCGGGGCTGGGGGCTCTGGGGGCGGGGCTTGGGGGTAGCGGGGCCCCGTTTCCCGGGTAACGGCCGCGCGGAAGAGGCGGGGCTAGGGCGCCAGTCCCGCCGCCTGGCTCCCGGGGCCGCGACCTGAGACCGTGGCCTCGGAGAGTCGATCAGTAGTAGGGCAGGAGAGCGCCAGAGGCCAGCGGCTCTGGACCGAGCAACTTTAGTCGTGGGGACGGGCGGCAGAACGGAATGGGGCTTGGGAGAGGCCGGTCAGAGTGACAGACTGGGGGCGTGGCCTGTGAGACCCGGAAGCGGGCGAGGCGTGAGTGGGCGTGCCCGGCCAAGGGCGACTAGCGGTATCCCAGTAACCCAGTGCTCCGACCGGTGATCCAGCAGGTCCAAGCGTGCGGCCGCGCGTTTCGGGGGCGGCGGCGCGGGCGGGCCATGCCTGGGGACTCCCTGTCGCTGTGGGAACTGATGGAAGAGCACGTTCCGCTCCCGGAGCGGCCCGAAGTGAAGAGGATTCTAGGGGATACGACGGTGGATCTGAGCATGGAGCTACGGGCAGAGGTGGGGCGTAAGAAGGTGGGCCCCAAGGCAGACCTGTCCCACGGCAGACCTATCCTACGACTCGGATGGTTTTCTCACCTCCTACGGGTCCCTAGCCCTGCCCAGTAAAACTCTCGAGCTCTTGTTGGAGCTTACTGTCCGCCCAACCCTCTCCAATTTAACTGCCCTGCCCCTCATTCCCCCAGCTCCCCTGCCTCCCTTCACTTCCCTCCGCAGTCGCCGAGGTGCCCCAGCTCTCCTTGCAGGTGGTGATGTTACGATCATTGCTCCAAGAGGCTCGATCTATCCAATCCCCTGGATCGCGCCCCACCTCTGACCTCTCTTCCCTTCTGGCACCACCGCCCCTTGTAAGAGATCTCATGCGCCAGGAACTGCGGCAGCTCCTCCAAGGTCTCCGCCGGAAGGCCATCTGTGAGGGCAGGTTGGAGCTCCAGACCTGGGGCTGGGCCCTGTCTCCAGAACTCAGATGGGCTAGCCTGGCAACTGACAAGGGGCCAGGGTTGCCTTTCCTGTGGTTCCCTGGAATGAGCCCCTGAATTGCCTTTATGCATCTTCTGCAGGGACCAGACCCAGGCTTGGGTCCAGTATAGCCCCAGGGTCCTGCGCTTTGCCTTGGAGGAGCCCAGGCGTGATTTGCCAGAACAGGAGATGTTCCAGATGAGAGCTGGTGAATCCAGGTATAGTAATAGGAGAGGAGGGATCTGTCCTTGCTGGGCAAAGGAACCCGGGCAACTGGTAGGTCCCACCTGCAGGCATGGAGGAGCTCGTGGTCTGGGACTGACACTTCTATAGCCACTTGTGGTAGGGGTCAGCCCGTGAGGGTTGCAGAGGCCCAGGAGACACGTGCCAATCCTGGGAGCTTGGTTCGATCTGGGTTTTAGGATATGAGGAACAGACTTCCAGACAGATACAAAGAGAAGCGCTTTGCAGGAAGAGGGAGCACTACATGCAGGTATGAGTGGAAGGAAAGACTTCATCCAGTGGCCACTTATCCATCAGGCTGGGACAGCAAGGCTGCGAGGACTGGGTTAGAGAGGGGTGGGGACTGAATGAGATAAACAAGCAGCAGCGTGTTCATCAGTGAATGGTAGCAACTTATTTCTCACACATCCTTATGAAGGGGTGATGTCCCCATTTTGCAGATGATGATACTAAAGCTCAGAAAGGATGACTGACTTTCCCAGGCTCAAACACAGTAAAGGGTGGCAGAACCCATGTGTGCAATCCCAGGCTCCAGATCTCCTCCTTTTAGTACCATCTTGTGTTGCCTTTGTGAGAAAGCACAAAATTGTCTAGGATAAATGGCATTTGTGTTCTGAAGTCCTGGGGTGAAGCAGCATGGGAGAGTGAGGTTGACTTCATCTGCCAGCAGCTGTCACCAGGACCTCAGTGTCATCAAGGACCAGTTGAACATGTCCTACATTGACCAGGTTGCTGGACACCTGCGGTGAGGCCCCAAGTGTGTGCAATGGGGGTGGAGACAGGGAGGGTGGGGCTGCAGATGGATCCTGATGTATTGGGACTACTGGGAGGAGAAGGGAGGGAACACACCTGGCTGGGAGACCTGGAAGACTGGGGCTGAGAGGTGGAAAGGGCAGGATGCTGATGAGGTTGCTGCCAGGAATCAATCAAGTACAGATGCCTACACGGGCCTTGGCCTGAGGACTTTATCCTGGGAGGTGGGAGAGAGATGACACGCAGAAGAGTTTTTAAAGCAGGGGCAGGGCTGTGATATGGGGGAGAACAGAGGCAGGAGGACCCGCAAGTCTAGTCCTATCGAGTAGAAGAGAGATGGCTGCTCCTCAGGTTGGGCACTGGTAGGTGGGCAAGGAGAGAGGACACACCCTGCCCAGGAAGAGGCTGGCGGGGCTGCAAGGCTGTGCTGGAACAGCATGAGGGCAGCAGAGGGAGAGGTGGGCGGAGATAGGAGGGCCCAGAGGAGGCTCCTGGGGAGGCCAGACGTTGGGACTACATGAAGCGCTCTGCTGAGACCCAGGCCTGCAGTGCTGCTTCTGGTGCCTCACTGCCCGTGTCCCAGGGCCCTCCTGGAGGAAGAGTGCCGCGCGCTGGAGAGGGAGATTCCCATCCTGCAGGTGAGCTGCAGTCCTGGGCCACCCCACCCCCAGCCCCTCTGCTGAGCGTAGACACCCCCATGTCTCTCACCCAGGGCGTGAGATCCCCACACATGTGTCTGTGTGTGTCTGTGCCTGCAGAGATTGTATGAACCCTGGGTCCGTTTTTCCCGTGTGCACACTTCTTATGTGTGTGATCCCTAAGTATGTGAACCCATATTCCAGTTGAGTCCCTAAGTCCGAGGTCAGCACTTTTAGATCAACTGCTGGGTCTTCCCAGGTCTTTTGCCTCCTTCTCTTCCCCAAGTCTGGGTTCAGGCCTGCCACCCCCTTGCCAAGCTCAGCTTTTCAGAGAGAGGCTGGTGTTCCTCTCAGGAGTGCCCCCAGATGGTTGGGAGGAAGAGATTGCACGGGCTGGTTCCTGCGCCCCACCATTGGGATCCTGGCCTGGGCACCCTGCCCAGCCCTGCCCCGCCCCTGCCGTAAGGCCAGGCACTGAGCCAGCTCTCCCTGCAGCGCTGCCTGGAAGACGAATATACAGGGACCCCTCGGCCTTCTGAGGCAAGCCTAGAGCCCACCCTGGCAGGTGAGGACCCTAGGCAGGCCCCAGAGTACCCAGTGCTCTGTGCCACCCCTACCCCCTGCCCCCACCACCCTACCTCACTCTTGTAACACAGCCTGGAAGACTGGGTGCTGTGTCTCAGGTAGAACTTCTCCTCCAGAGCTAAAGGAACAGAAGGCAGCCATGCAACAGGAGCTGCAGGCACCCCTGAGGCCTCCCTGTGTCTCCCCCAGCCACAGGTAACCCGGAGCAGACAGACAGCTGGATGGGGCAGGCTGAGGGGCAGGCCATGCCCCCCTCACAGCTACTCCCTCCCATTCAGGGCACAGCGCTTGGGGTCCTCCAGCCAGGGCCCTGGACCCCTGTCTTGCCTCCACGGGGCTGCTAGAGTTTGGGCCAGGCCTCTCCAGTGCTGCCTGCCTGCTCCTCCTCTGGAGCGCTGCCCCAAACCTCGCAGCCTGGCCTCCACCTGCCGCTGGGGACGGAAGATTCAGTTCAGCCCTGGGAAAAGGCCAGCTTCTACTCCGATGTCTAGTGCAGTGACCCAGGCCCCAACCTGAAGGGCTGCTCAGGAAGGAGGCTTCAGCTTCGGTTGGCACGCATCCTGTCTACTACTGCCCCCTTTCAGCTGCCAGGGCCCAGCCCACTTCAGATCTAGTCTAGGATGAGCCCTCCCCAGGATTCCACTGCTCTCTGTCTGTCTGTCTGGCCCTCTACCTTCTCTCCAGGTCCTGGGTGTCCAGTCCTGACTGTCACAGCCTCTGGCCTTTCTCCTCCCAGGTACCCCCCCCACCAAAGGCCTGGCAGGAGGAGGCCTTGTCCCAGCCCTGACTCATGTCCCCCTGGAGGACCCAGACAAAGCACAGCAGCAGCTCAGAGACAGGAATAGAAATTTCATTAAAACCTATGGACTTTAAAATCCTAGTGGTGCGCGGATGGTCGGGGGTGGGAGGCGCACCGTTATTGCTACAGAGGATTAGAGGCGGCTCTTCCAGGGCTGTCACTGCACAGACGGGCACGGAGGATGGATACGCGGACACTGCAGGGCTTGGGGGAAGGAGTTCTGGCTCCAGAGAGGGGTTGGGGCACGCGGGCTGGGGCGATTTGGCACGTGAACAAGGGTAGCCCAGTTCAGGAAGACTGGGCTTTAGCCTGGTGGTGGTAGGGCAAGGGGGTGTTGTGTAGGGTCCCCTTACCCGGGGCTCTGGGCTCAACCCTCCTGCTGAGCATCACCCCACCCCTACCCCCCAGAAACGAGTTCTTTGGGCAGGCTGTTGGGTCACGGGCCTCTGCTGGGCTGGCCCTGACAGCCAGTGCTGGAAGGAGGCACAGAGACCTCAGAGCCGCCAAGTGAGGTGCAGGTGGGCCTGGAACACAGATTGGGCCCGAGGCCAAGGGCGATGGGGTGGCAACCACAGATAATATACTTTTTACAAAAATAATCACACAGACAAAAGGGCCGGGCCACACAGCCTGACCCGTAACACTGCACAGCCCCCCGGCCCCTCACCCTGCCTCCAGGTAGGAAGATCTGAATTAGCCTGGGCGGAGGCTGGGGTCCACCCCAAGGGCAGGAACACTGGTCAGGAGGCTGGAGGCTCAGGGCAAGGGACAGGTAGGAGACCCACCCAGAACCTCAGCTCAGGGCAAAGTGTGGGGGCATCAGAGGCCACATGAAGCCCAGCAGGCCTCTGGGGACCTGGCCTGAGACCCCTCCAAAGTGCTATTGGGCCCCCCAGCAACGCCCGCCCCATCACCCACACCCCCCCAGCTGCCATCTTGGCATCCAAAGGACCTGTAAACACTAGGGACGTTAGCACGAATGACCGCGCTAGCAGTGGTGGCCAAGGTGACAGGTGCCACCCCTGGCCAGGGCATGGTGGGGGCAGGCGGTGACACCTATCCACTGTCTCCCCAGTCTCTGTGTTGGGAGCACAGGGTGGGGGTTGGGCACTCCCCTGGCAGCTGCGCTCATATCCGGGAGTCCTGCAGGCGGCTGGAGCCATTACTGCCCACCATGGGAATCTGGGCCTTGTCCGGGTGCAGCGGCTGGACCTCAAGCCCGTCTTCAGGGGAGGGTGGGATGGTGGGGGCGTAGCGCCCTGTTCGGTGCTCCAGGAGGGCGGGACCCCAGTCTCTGCTTGGCTTTGTTGCATTTTTCAAACGCTGCAGGAGGGGTAGGCATGGGGGAGGGATGGGCGGATAGAGTGCATCAGAAGGGAGACCTGGAGCGCCATCCATCCATCCACCCCCTTCTGATTCACCTGGCTGCCCCTGCCCCCACCCCTCACCTGGAGGAGGGTGTCCCCATCTGTTCTGCAGAACTGGAACAGGGCGTAGAGTGGAATGCAAATGACAGAGGACAGAGCCATGAGGAAGCCAATGGCCACCGCCCAGCTTGGATACTGGTATTGGTTGTAGGTGATTGGCTGGTACTGGATCACCGAGAAGATGAGAATGAACTGCAAAGAGTGGGGGTTGGGAATGGCTGTGAGTCCTGCCCAGCCCCACCCCAGCCTTAGGCCTATCAGCATTGCTCCCCACCCTCTCCAGTTTCCCAGACTAGAAAGAGGCATCTCAGGGAGGGCAGGGTTGACATCAATGTTTGGGTAGTGGAAGAAGCTGATGGCACCAGGGGTCCAGGGTATAATGGGCAGGTGGGCACTGTGGAAGGGGAGGGGTCTGGCTTCGGGATAATCCTGAAGCAGCCAAGAAACTGTTCAGCTGCCGTGGCCCTTGGAAGTCAGTTCTACTCAAAGACTTGCAGTGGCCTCCCACTGCCTGCTGAAGTAAGGCCGAATCCGTGGCCTTTAAGGCTTCGATGGCATTTTCCATCTACTAAGCGTTTTTTGAATGTTTCCTCCAGACCTAGGAGCTCCTGGGATTGCATCAGCTCTGGGTCTTCAGTGCCCAGCACAGCGCTGCACAATCTTATGTGCCGATCTGAACTGACTTATGCAGGAAGGTGCAAGCAATGGGGGAAAGGAAAGGGAGGAGTCTGCAGAGACGGCAGTGGACAGCCCGGGGAGGCTCGGAAGCCTAGAAACCATGTCACGTTGGGGGTGCTCTCAGGAGCTGCTTTGGAAAGAGCCGAGGGACACCAGAGATAAAGCCTAGGGTTGCAGCAACAAGAATACTACAGGAAGCAGAAAGATGAGCAGGTGGTTCATGGGCCACCTGGAAGGCCTGGGGCAGTGGGTGCTGCTTGCCAGGAGGCCTCAGCATACACCTCCCAAGCCTTCAGCTGCATCCTGGAGCTCAGCCCCCTCCAGCCTTTTTAGTGACTAAATTCTAGAAGTCAAGACCTGCATCCATCCGGGGGACACTGCACTTAGATGAGCTTATAAGTTCCCTGAATGGAACTAGAGCCCGATCTAATGTGTGGACAAATTCTTTATTTGAGCTGATAGAAGGACGGAGTTTGTAAAAAAAATAATAATAATAATAAATAAAAGATCTTTTCAGCACTATGAAGAAGTAAAGCCTCCAAAGAAAACTAACAGCACAGAAGCACACGGTCCACAGAGCCTGGCATCCTCACCTAAAGGTGATTCCAGCCTGGCTTTCTGAGCACAGAGAGGATGCTGCAGGCTTTGCCTCAGTTTCCTGGAGACACTGGACCCAGGCTACCTCCTGCCTCCTGCCCTCCCCGCAGTGCCCTGGGTCTCCCCACAGGGCGGCAGCTTCATGGGAGCCCTGAAGGATGACTTCCTCCAGGGCAGGTCCTGGGCCAAAGCTACAACCCCCGAGGGCACAGTGCTTGGGCACAGTCTGCCCTCCCCCACCTCCCACCGCTTACAGGACACTTCTGCTCCTCCTGGTTCAAAGCTGGGCCAGTGGCCAGAGCTGGTGCCTGTGCCAGGCCCTGGAAGATCCCACACCCCATGTGATGGAGGCCTCGGCCCTCAGGGGCCTTTTTGTCCCCAGAAACATGAGCCAAAGTGGAAATCCGGTACTGACCTCTCTGCGGCACAGAGGAGCTGGCACGAGGGGGACACGACTCCAGACACTGCCCTGACCATCGGGCTGACCCCTCTGTCACTCAGAGATGGCCCTGCCTCTTCTCTGTGGAGGGACCATTACACTAGCAAATCCCTCCACCCACCCCAGCCCCCGACTTCTCACCCTGATCATAAAGGAACAAAATCAGAAGGTTTGTAGTCACAGACCACTCCTCCTCCTAAACTTGTGTCTACTGCAGCACGGGCCCAGCACACATGCTCCAGATCAGACCACCTGCTTCACATGAGGGCTCTGACTCTTAAAAGCTATATAACCCTGGGTCAACTACTTAACATTTCAGGGCCTCAGTTTCCTCATCTGTAAAGTGGGGATAATAACGAAACCATGGAGAGTTGTATCACGAGACTTAGTATATGGTTCCTGGTCATGGTGGGCTTTCCCTACACCGCTTCCACTCCCTGCTGGGAGGGTCTATCTTCCAGGTGTTGAATACTGGTGGAAACCCAGAACTTCCCCTCCCAAGCCAGCCCATTCCAGGGTGGCTTAGGAGGGTGTCCCGGATTCTGAACTGATACCTGACTTGCACAGCCTGCTTCTGGAACATGCATTCACACCACATATCCTGATCACTCCAAGCACCTCAGCTATGAGGGACTAGAGACACGAGCTCAGTGAGGCTGTCAGAGGCCAACGCTAATGTCAGTCATGGTTCCTGAGACTCCTCTGAGGGGATGCCAGGTGGAAACACCAGGGAGGGAGGGCCGACTCTCAGCTGCTGCCAGCCTATTTTCCCCTTCTGAAGCTGGGCACTGTCTTCCAGCAAATACAGGGCCCTGTGCTCCCTTCCTAACCCAAGGCCAGGGCTTGGGTGGTTCTGAGTCTCCACACCTGTCTGACTCTATATAGCTTTGCTCAGACTTTCAATGACCAGAGCTGTGGGTGTGGAGCCTCCAGGGGGAGCTCTGGCCTGAAGAGCTCGTGCTCTTCCTTGGCTGGTTCCCAAAAGAAGGACGCTTGCCACGGGGGCAGCAGGGCAGGGACCAGCGAGGAACTTACAAAGATGATAGCTGGTGAGACGAAGCGCCAGCAGATCTGGAAGAAGAGGGGTGGTGGGAACCCCAGCATCATCTGGATGTCCTGGAAGTAGTTCTGGTGCCCTGGAGAGAGGGAGGTCAGCAACCCACAGGACAGCACAAGCAGGCCAAGGGCTGGAACACGGGAGGCCATGGAAGCTCGGGCACTTACCGTAAATGTACATGATGGACACACACATAATACAGGAGATGATGACCAAGGAGAAGCTGGCCGCGTAGTTGTCCATCAACAGCAGCCAGTAGATGCCTGCCTGCGGGCCAGTGGGCAGCTGAGTCAGGGGTGCCTGAGGCTATGGTCCCCCTCTCTCCCCTATCTTCCCACCCCCCCCCCCCATACCCTGGCAACTCCCGCCCAGCCTTTCCCTTGGTTCTTACTTGGCTGGTGAGAGGGATGCCCAGAAGGAAGCCAGCCACAGCCACGCCCAAGGTCACGTAAGTCTTTTTCTGCAGGATCCACTCATTCCCTACCTCATCCACAATGGCTGTGACCAACGTCTCTAGGA